CACACAGGTACAGGTGGAGACACACATGTGGTCCATTTCTCTCTCTCACACTCACACACACACACACACACACACACACACACACACACACATGCACACACACTCTCAGTGGGTGAATTCCACAGGGACCACACATGACGCCTGCTGGTGTTAAAGCTGTTAGCCACGGTCTGAGCTGGACTTCATTCTCCAAATGCCTCCCTGTGGTAACTTGAACTCTTTGAGGAGCACATGGACGAGCGGAGTGCACTCCTCCTTCACTCCTCCACTCCTCCACTCCTCCTTCACTCCTTCACTCCTCCACTCCTCCACTCCTCCTTCACTCCTCCACTCCTCCACTCCTCCTTCACTTCTTCATCCCTCTGAGAGCCTCATCTGGACGTCAACACCTCCCACACAGTCTATTGATTATCAGCCTGATCGACCGGTGCTGGTTTGACCGTCCTGAAAACAGTCCGCTCCACCAGGACGGGATGAAACAGTCACTCACTCTTACACAATCCCAGACCTGCGAACCTGCAACGATCAATCAACAATTGATCAATGATCAATGAGACAGGCCACAAGTGTGAGGACGGATGAACTGGTTCAGTCGTTTCTCAGCGGCGGACGAACTTTCCTGTTAATTATTTAGTTTCTCTGAACGTCGCTAACCTGAGATTAGAAAATACGATCAGTGAGGAGCGTCTCTGCCTGTGGTGGTTTTAGCGCCCCCTGTGGACAAAGTGGTAACCCTTTTATTTTATCATGTCAGCTGACAGGAAGTCTGTTCTTTTGTCAAAGCAGGAAATGTGACAAATAAAGGCTTAAAATCTACAATTAAGAAATAAATTAACAGATAAAATCAAAAACTGATGAACGCAGAAAAATAACGAAATGATTCTGAAATGATTTTATTCAATTATATATATTTATATTTATATGTTTCTGCTAAAATACATATAAATATATCCAAGTATACAGAGAATATACAGTTTATATTTGTATACATTTTAATGTATATGCTGAATTTAGTATTTATGAATATTTCTTTAAATATCTAAATTTATAAACAATATAAACATCTTATTCAAATATACATAGATCTATAGTTACAATTCTGTTATTATCTCTTTAAATAAAAAATACATGTTTGTATTTTAATAAATGTAGGCATATTTAAATTAAACAAAATATTATATTCAAACTTTCATTTGTTTTTATGTAACAAGTTATACATATGTTTATGTTCAAATAAATTTTTAATCAATATTTAATATTATATGTATATTAACAAATAAGTACAGTTAATTTTAAAGTCACTGTCTATTGTCTAAACATAAAAGTAAATATGTTAAAGACACATTTATAGATTATATACTTAAATATTCATATCTACAGAACGAAATCTCTCTCTGTCTAAAGTTATTAAAGTTCAGATGTTTTTAACTCTTTAGGAGAAACTTTTGTTGTTTCAGAGACTTTAGTGTAATAAACAGAATGACACAGTAATGAAGTTAGAAATACTCTTATTAAAATTAACTTTATTAATCTGTTTATTTTAAAACACGTCACACTTTGTTTGAAAAATCGACTCTTCAGGAGAAACTGAACTTTTGTTGTTTCAGAAACTTTAACGTAATAAACAGACTGGCACAGTAATTAAGTTAGAAATACTCTATTCAAATTAACTTTTTAAATTAACTTAAGTCACGTTTATTTCTGCTCTTTATTTTAAATGTTTCATCTAAAACACGTCACACTTTACATAATCTCAGTTTTCTTTAAACTGTGTTTGAAAAATTGACTCTTCAGGACCTTAAACTGTGAAAAATAAACATAAATCTCACATTTTACTTCCATATAAACCTTCATTAACGTTTATAATGAATCACTGATGAATACATTCCTATTTTAAACCTGATTTTTATTTATTTTAAACGAGTTTAAATTCTCACCTAACCTGTGCGATTTCATTTTCCATGCATTAATAAACAGAGTGTGAAAAAGCGTGGATATGAGCTGATAGCTGAACTGTGAGTGTGTGAAAACGTCCTTTCATACCTCCAATAAAAGCCTCGTGTTAACACCGACTCTCTTCTTCTTCTACTCTTTAATAACTGCAGCTGCAGACCTCCAGTCCGTCTCTGCTCCACTGTAAACACTGAGCTGTGAGCTTTTATCAGCAACAAGATGATAAGATTCAATATTACAGCCGCTGTGAGTCTATTATCACACACACACACACACACACACACACACTCCTGCAGCAGCACTATTTTCATTTCATACACAGGAGCCGGCTCACCTTGATTATCTCTCTCTGACACCTCTATAAATGTCTGCAGAGCTCGGCCGTGCGCTCTCATACATATTTCTACAGATTTATAGAGAGCATGAGACAGCAGAGGGCTTACACACACACACACCACACACCACACACCACACACACACACACACACACACACACACACACACCACACACCACACACACACACACGGATCATCATTAACACTCTTATTCAAAAACACACCAAAGATATTTATGAACTCGATTCATTTTCACTGAAAATTTAATCAAACTGCAGTTTTATTTTGTTAATCTGACAGAATCTTCTTGTTTTTATTTTAAAATCACGTTTTTGTTTTAAAAATATTTTAAGTTTTATTTGTTTTTATAGTGAAAGTGTCTCAACCGTCAAAATAAACCTGTTTAGTTGTTTTTATACTTTTACATTAGAAACTTTCTGAAAAACCTACTCTGCCATAAACTTGACTGTGATGCTGTTTTTTTAAATACATAAATATATTTAATATAAAATCATATCAGATCAAACTCTTTATGTATTTGCATCACAAGCAGATCATTTTATCCAGATTTAAAGTTTTGCACGTGCCTGTCTCCATTTTTTTTAGCCTGGCCATTTGATTTCTTCATTTTTCCGCGTGTTTTGTCCGTGTTTAGGACTTCGTGACACTTATAAAGTGCTTTTCTGAATAAACTTCTCTCCATAAATGAATGAAAAGCATTATATAAATTAATTCAGCTTACTAACAAACAAATAAAGCACTAGAATAAAGACTTTGGCGTGTTTGTCAAAGTGTCAGGACCCTGAAGAGTGAATGTAAAAGATGATTTTAATCAGAATAAATCAAACTCTGAAGCTCTTTTATGATGAGCTCTCCTGCTGTGTGTTCCTCTCTCTCTCTATTGTCCTCCTGCACACACTCCTCCGGCGCTCGAAGCCTCGATTGCTAACAGATGATTCGGGGAAACGTCAGCGCTGTCACTTTTATTACTTCTTTAACCTTTCACGGCGGACAGTTTTACGGCTCTGCTCGGAAAACAAATAAAATCCTGCTGGCGTGTTCGGGGAGTTCGGCGGATTCAGATTGGAGCGTTTATTTCGAAATGTGGGAAGTTCTGAAGTTTGAGACTCGTGTAATTAAAGATCGGAGAAACATCTTTGGAAAAAACAAACCGTTAGATCATCTCGGACGGGAACTTTTGGGACTTTTTACAGACGACATGGGATGATCTGGACTAGATATGTATATAAAAAATAAACATTTATTTACTCTAGAAAACAAGAGATTAAAAAATAAAACAGTGATGTTCTTGTTTTTATTAATGTGGAAGAAATTATTGAACAGCTTCTGTTTTTCTGAACTTTGTCGTGTAAAAACTGCGACATTAACTAATCCAAACATGAACTCTGACCTCTCATTGGTCGTTTCTCATGTTTGTATATCGGCTCAGATTAGCAGAAACAGACGGTTTATACATGTTCCAGGGTTCCTGTAGATCCGTCATTAAACGTCTCATTTTCAGCTGCTGGAGGTTTTAAAGTTTAGATGATAAATGTCTAAAGACTCCCTGAAATTTTCACTGTCATGTTAGTGTTATTTAGTTTTATATAAATGTTAAAATGACGACTCTCTATACATTTAGCGTTAATATTCACAAACTGAATAAAGAAGAGAAAATACGAACTGAAGGAAATTTTACAACCAAACTGAGGTCTTTAAACGTGTTTTAACTACTTTAAAAGATTTTTAAGTGTATTTATGTTCTGTGTTTCAACTTATTTTAGCTCACCATGCTGCTCTTTGGCCAACTTTGGTCCTCCGGTTAGATTATACTGTCTAAGGAAGCAGATTAGGGGTTCGGTCCGGACTAAACAACACCTCTAATAACAGCTTACGAATTTGCGACTAAAAATAGATGTGTGCAAATTGTAAAATGTATTTAGGGTCACATGTGCGCATTAAAAAAATCAACAAATGTTTGTTTTCCTGTAAATATGGCGGTGAAGTTAGTTTCAGGTTGGATATATTTTCCTGTAAATACGGCGGTGAAGTTAGTTTCAGGTTGGATATATTTTCCTGTAAATACGGCGGTGAAGTTAGTTTTAGGTTGGATATATTTTCCTGTAAATATGGCGGTGAAGTTAGTTTTAGGTTGGATATATTTTCCTGTAAATACGGCGGTGAAGTTAGTTTCAGGTTGGATATCTGACGGACATTCTCTGAGGATCTACCGGTGTCTTCTCACTCTCCATAACCGGGAATAACAACAGCAGCGCGGTTAAATCTACTCGACACCCTCACTGTCAACGTCGGTGTTGAATAAGGGACCGTCAATAAATTATCGGTTGATGTTCTCAGAAAAGACTGTTTTCCTTCAATAGCTTCACTGTCATGTGACCAAAAGACCTAAAATTGATTATTTGATCCATTTTCATTGTGCCGCTAAAGTTCTTTGTGTGTCAAGCCCTGACTTACAAACCTGTGACCGCAAAAGAAACACTACTGACATATGGATAGGATTAGAGCTGAGAGACAGGATGTTCTGCTTTGTCCACAGGGGGCGCCAAAATCAACACTAACCACAAGTTCCCCACTGTAGCTTTAAAACTAACAGACAAACAGGGATTTTTTCAGTTCCTGCTGAAAACGGTTTATTCTTACGAGAGTTTTTCCTGGATGAAGACTTCATTTCCCATGAGCACCATCAGTGAATGTCCAGAAGTTCATGTGCAGACGTGAAGGTGTCCAAACAGAAGAGAGAGACACTTCCTGTTCAGGTGAAAAATGTTCCTTTAAAATTATTCACATGGTAGAAAATGTGAACTTCAGGTCGTCTCTGACTCTTCTGCACGCTTGAATCTCTTTGTTCAGAGTTTTTCAGCCTCACATGCAACAAACACGCTGCTGACCTACCTGCTGCTGCTGCTGGAGGCTCGAATCAAAATGGCGTCGCCCCAGAGGAGCGGGCTCGCCGTCCTATCCCCCTTAGCTCCTGTTGGGGAGCTGCAGAATCAAAGTGGTGCTCCTTGAATCTCTGAGGATGAGATAATCCTGTTTGCATGGACGCTCCGAGAGGAAACAGAGGCTGGGAGGGCGGACGGGCAGGGGAGATTAAAACCCCCAAAACACCAGAGAGCCTCTCAGAGCGAGGTTCAACCAGTGATATCTGCTGAGTGAGGCTCAGATTCAGAGGACACTGACCCCCCTCTTATTAAAAAAAAAACAATAATAATAATAATAATAATAATAATAATAATATTCTTTAAATGTCTCTGATTTAATAAAACAGCAGAGAGCGTCTGCAGGAGTCACAGCATGGAGAGAAGAAGCACAGAGGTGGAGACGCACACATTTATAAGACCAGTTAATCCATGTAGATTTACACAGCGTGGACACACACACACACACACACACTCAGCAGTGTGGGAGGCCTGAACATCTCAATGCCACTCTTGTTACTGAGCCGTGATAAAACAGCAGCGGACATTTGTGCCACAACTGCTCTGTCTGTCGGCCTCTCAGCTTGTTGACAGGCTGCAGGACGGAGGGACGCATGTGGAGTCAGAGTCTGCACCCCCCACCACTCTGTGTGTGTGTGTGTGTGTGTGTGCGGCACATGTACACACGCCTGCATGCATGTAAAGCCTACACCTCTGTGTTTGTGTAGCTGATGGTCTCATACATGTGTGTTACTGAGAATCAAAGCATGCATGAGTGACTATCACACATATACAGAAGGACGTCAATACTTTAAGATAAAGGTTATAAATCTGTCAGATCAGCTGTTTCTCCATGAAGACTAAAACCAACGACTGAAACTCTCGAACACGATGTTTCTCCACGGCTCTGACTGCAGAAAATAACATCTGAGTGACTTTAAATCAGAGCAGAAACACACGATCAAAACTTCAGGGTCTGAGTACCAGTGTTCTATTCTAACACTCTATTTCTTCTATTTCTATCTTTTTGTCTTTCAGTGTTTTTGATCATCTTGTTGGATTCACACAAATAAAGTTCATCACTGAATTCTTATCAGGGCTGATTTTTATAATCATGATTTATCTCAGAATTTAACGTCGATAGAAGTTCATGCAGACCTAGTTGGATGATTGAAACGCTATTATTTCACATGTTTAAATCTGACGGTGGTTTAATTTCTGAATTAACTCAACAGTATGATCCTGACGGTCACATTTAGTCTACGTTCACTCTGCAGGTTCTGATGCACAATTCGGATTTTTTGTTAAATCCGATCTTTCTGTGCGGTCGTTCACGTTACAGCAACGAATGTGAAGTGACCCTCATGAACACAAAGCACAAATATCTTTCCGCGCCTGTTTGTGTTGTTGAACAATGGTGACGTTTGTCTCATATTGATGACGTAAAGGTCGGATGAAGGCGACCTGAGCGTCACACTGCAGTCACATCAGATACATATCTGATTTATATCCACATACAGAAGAGGCCTGGGTCAGATTAGAACCAATCAGAACTGACCTGTTCACATATGAGTCACAGATGGTTAAAAAATCTGAACTGACCTGCAGTGAGAACGTAGACTAAATGACTCTGACTATATCACAGTTTTAGTCTACGTTCACACTGCAGGTCAATTCCGATAGAAAACCAAAACTGTGGACGAAGAGACAAGAATACTTTCATCTATAAAAGTTCATTAAAATCTGACAATTAGAGGAGAAATCTTTCATTTTACGAAGGAAGAAAAGTCGCAGCATAGATTTCTTGACATGATCCTGGTGTTAAACTGACAGTTTAGATCGTTTGTAAAAGTGACACCAAGAAGTTTGAGGCGTCTCACCATCTTCACCTTTTTGTCGTTGATAATGAGAGGGAGATGGGTGGATTATAATCTCCTTCATTCTGGAGGCGTTTAAAATAACATTGTTCATCTCCTCCACTGAACTCGGTTCTATAAAGAGAGTTCATCCTGTCACAGACAAGGAGTTTGTTTTTATCATAATAAAGGATAACACAGTGAGGATGAAGTGTCCCATCAGTGTCAGTCCGGTCTGCAGATATTCTTAAATAAAACTCTGATTAAAACAGCAGCAAACACACTCGTCAGGAGTTCAGCTTTGGCTGTTTTTAGATATTAACACGCAAACTGAGAAGCAGAGAGAAGACCTGCTGACGACCGTCTGATCAGCTGCACCTGTCTGCTGCATTTCTGGACTCTAATTACCATTAATACCATTAATAAACCCTTATAACTGTGGTTCTTTATTGGAGTTTGGTTTGTTTTAAAGATTTGTGTTTCTATGACTTCGCAAATAATAAACTGAACAATGTAAGAAAATGGATGCAAGACTAATTTCTGCAAAATAATAAACCGGTTAGTTAGAAGAAGCTGAGAAAACCGAGGAGGAGTCAGAGAAATGAAGCTTTTCCCTCCTGCTGTGAGAGCGTCTAACCTCTAAACAATCAGCTGACTGCTTCAGACCTCAGATATGATCCTTTTGGTCAATAATGAGGTCCAAATCTGATCTGTGCTCTGTCTTTTCAAAATAAAAGCGGTCAGAGTGATCTCAGTGTTGAGAAGAAAACAGGAAGTCAGGAGAAGACGGTCGTGTTCCACAGATCTGGATTAAAACGCTCGCTCGACTGTTTTTAGAGAAAATACAGAAAAGTTTAAAGAATTATTTTGACTGTATTAAATACATGAATCACCCCGCTCCAGTCTGACAGACCTCCGTCTCTGTCAGTGTGTGTGTGTGCGTGTGAGTGAACGAGTGAGTTCATGTTTTCATACTGTACATGCTGACAGTTGTAGATCAGCTGCAGTGACTCTGCTGCCTCTCTGTTTATTACCTTCATTTGCATCTAAATTAAAGCTGCAGTGTAGCTGCAGGCTGGACCGTGCAGGGCGGACACACACACACACACACACACACACACACACACACACACACACGCACGTATCTCCATATATAGAGCCGGTGTGTAATTGGTAGGGAAATGTTAATGTGTCTAATTGTAGAGAAATTTGCATGGCTCTCTGTGATTTCACACACTCTGCCTTCATGATGCAATTATGCAGAAACACAGGAGTGTGTGAATACATTAGAGCCTCACCTCACCTCTGCGTGTGTGTGTGTGTGCATGTGTTCCTATTGGATCATTACTGAGGCCTCCTGTCTGTCTGTCTGCACAACCACAGAAGAAGAAGAAGAAGAAAACAGGTAGAGGCAGAGATCCCGTCAGCCTGTCACAACATTTACCTCTGAATCTGACAAATTGATCTGAGCTTTACTCCAACCTTCTGTTTGCTCCTTCCTCCCTCTTTTTTTAAGAGCAGGAGCAGCAGGAGGAGGAGGAGGAGGAGGGTAATTCTTCCTTTGGACAGGCTCCAGAGCAGTTATAAAGGAGACAAACTCTTCCTATCAGGAGAGAGGATGAAGCTGCAGATGACAGATGAGCTGCAGGCTGCAGGAAATAACCGCCTCACATCAGGAAGAGGAGAGCACTCGATAAGTAATTTAGAGAGCGATAATTACACCCTACATCCATCTATCTATCTATCTATCTATCTATCTATCTATCTATCTATCTATCTATAATAAAGGACAGATTTTAGGACTCATTTTCTGCAGAGATGTTCTAGTTTCTAGCCTCTTTTTCAAACTCACAAACACACAGAAAAATTCAGGTTGATGGAAAACTATTTAAAAAACTTGCAAAACATCTAAATTAGAGCACATGACGTGTTTTTGGAGTATTTCGACAAACTTATTCTAACAAATCAGGAGGATTTTGACGTGTTTTTCTGACCTCAGGTTGTAAAATTTGAGTTTTAGTTTCATGAATCAGAGTTTTTTTCTTAAAGTTGAAAATGACTTATTTTCTTTAATTCATTAAAATCTTGAGATGCACCGATCCATTTTTTCTGATACCGATACCTGGGCTGAGCTAATCAGCCGATATCCAATACTGATCCAATACTACTGTTGAATGAATGAACTGTATACCTCACTCTGTGATTGAAGGCATCAGGTTTGACATTAGACTTGTTAAAGTAACAAATTAACACAGATATAAATTTACTTCATGTTATTTATTTAAAAATTTCACATTAACACACAGCGAAAAGAAGGAAGTCTTCCATGTATTAAAAGAAAAATTAATCGGAATGGATCGGAACGCTGGATCGGCGTCATTCATCAGATATCCGATCCAGTTAATTTGTCAATATTGGATCAAAATATCAGATCGGTGCATCCCTATTAAAAAACAACCACTTTAAAGGGTAATCCTGATTCATATTAGACATACATATATTTAAAGGTTTAGATTAAAAACATGTTGGATTTTTGTTGATATTCTGTTTGTTTTTCAGCGTCATTTGGAAAACACGGGAGGTCCTGACGGTAAAAAACGGACAAAATCAGGATTAAAGAGGAGAAATGATTTGGTTTAGATGTTTGTTTCTTATTTTTTATATCAAAATTATAATTTTAATGAAACTAAAATCCTCATTTGGGGCGTTTTTGTGGAGGAATCACGACACCGTTTTTAGGCCCTGCACGGCCTTTGTCCCTCACACACACACACCTGCAGCCACACTAACATCACCTGTGTGTGTATGTGTGTGACACACAGACGGAGAGCTAATTTCATGCTCTGTAACACTCTGAACAGCAGCTGATAGCGGCGCGCGCGCTGCGTAAATTCTCCTCCTTTTCCTCAAAAACACTTTTGTATGAATATGGATCCAAATGTCCCACTCACGTGAACCAATGAGCTGCGACCCCTCCTCAAACACACACACACACACACACACACACACACACATACATTTAAAAAACGTCTCGGTGTGTTTCCTGTTTTTCTTTTTCTGATATAAAAGGGTTTTTATTTGGAAACATGGTTAAAATGTACATAATATAACCCCCCCACACTCCTCCTCCTCCTCCTCCCATCGTCCCCCGCGCTCCTCTAACATATAACCACAGATAGTCGGATGTGACCTGCCAAAATAAAAGCATCACCAGGACGCACAGAGAGGCCAAACTCTGTTTTTTTCACAGTTGAACACAAATCTGTAATCCGGAGAGAACTGCTGTAATCCTGAGAGTTTAGAAAGAAAAACAACAGAGGAATAAAAACTCTGAGAGAGAAAAATAAGAGGCTCTGGAGACGTGAAATAAACCCTGAAAATAGTCAGGACTGTCATTTTATGAACTCAGACTAAAAAGTCGATTAATCGTCAGGAAAATATTCAAAAACGTATTTTAGAAAATCTGTTTCCAGACTTTCAGATTCAGTTTTCTTCTGAGCTCCAAGGTGAAAATAAACATAAAAGAGATTAATTCAGATTTGGGAAAACTGTGTAGACATTTTCGACATTTTAACCGAATTATTCATCAATTAATCGCAAAATAATCGGCAAAAGAAGTGCGCAGTTTAAGGGATTAAAACACGCTCTAGAGTTCGATTTATAATCCGGAGAGAATGACTCTCACATGGAGACTTAAGGTGGTATTTTTAATGTTTTAAATCTGGTTTTCTTTGACGTTTTTTATTTTCCTTTTTTGTTTCAGTTTTTAAGCGTAAAAATGTGAGCCTTATTTTAAATATTTTACTTCTTTATGAAACTAGAAAAGTCAGAAAATATCTTTAATTCTGCAGAAACACTCCCTCCTTTAAGATTTCTGGAACCTTCCTCTGCAGGTTCGGGTTTGTGTTTTCGTTTTTGGCTCTTGGATTTGCGTTAATCTGCGGGTGTGAAACCTCTTCAAAACGAGCTGCAGGATTACAACAGTTCTTAGAAATCAGCTGGTCCAGAAGAGAGAGAGAGAGAGAGAGAAAACCTGATGGAGTGAGAGGGAGGCTGTGGCTGCTCTGTTTGGAACCACAAAGACACGAGCTGAAGGAAAGAGAAAGTGCCAGAAACATCAGCTGCTGGCTGCGTGGAGGAGAAGAGGAGGAGGAGGAGCAGGAGGAAGAGAGGAAGAAGAGGAGGAAAATGAAGAAAGGGGGGTCCTTTTCACTTTCAGCTCACAGAGACAGAGATGAAGAGAGTGAAGGATGATGTTTTTCTTTTTCTTTTTCTGTCTGTAAAGTTGGAGAAAGTGTCAGGCTCTGTTTCCCGAGAAGATCTTTGGTTTTTGGCGGCAGCTTCAGTCTCTGTCTGTCTGTCTGTCTGTCTGTGGAGAGGAGGAGGAGGAGGAGGAGGTGAGGAAGAGGAGGTCCGCTCAGCCCCCCTCCCCTCTCCATCATTAAATTAGATATCATATATTTACAGAGTACAGAGTGAAGGAGGAGGAGGAGAAGGAGTTAGTCCTGCAGCTGTATCCGTGCCGTGCGTCCTCCTCCCCGGTGTCCTCGGTGTCTCCTCAGTGTCCCCCCCACCTCCCCACCTCCCTCCCTCTCTCCCTCTCAGTCGCTGTCCTCCTTGTCCTCCTGGATGGTGGTGGTGGAATGGTTGTACAGTCCCTGCGCCATCAGCTGCAGCGCGAGCCCGTTCTTGAAGCCGCTGGCCTTCTTGATCTTGGCGCGCTTGTTCTGGAACCAGATCTTAATCTGGGACTCGTTCAGGTTCAGTTCCTGCGCCAGAGACTGTCTCCGCTGCTCCGTGATGTACCGGTTCACCTGGAACTCCGTCTTCAGCCTCTGCAGCTGCTCCGCCGTGAAGGCGGTGCGCGGCCGCTTGTCCTCTTTGCCGCTTTTCGACTTTTTCAGTTTCCGGGTCCTTGGGCCTGCAGTAAGGGCGAAGACACGAGAGCGGAAATATGAATATTCAGCGCAGAGAGCCGCGAACAGAGGCGATCTAGAGTCTAGACTGCACTCACTGGGTCGATTTAAAAATAAACAATTCACCGATCATCGATATATTTGTTAAAAATAATTCCAGCGATTAAATATCGAATATTCACGAACACATTCCTCACAACTTTAATCTTTTTTGTATTTGACTGTTTTTTAAATCTGTGTGTTCATGTTCATCCTGAACCGTCTGCCTTTAATTCCTGCCGACTCACGATTAATTGATCTCATCGATTAACATGAAAGAAAGTTTGATAATCCGATCATATCAACATCATCCTGCATTAAAACACACACACTCACACACACACTCACACTCACACACACACTCACACTGTATCATTCAAACACACACTCACTCAGAGAAAACTGCACGCTATTACAAGTATTACGGTAATTATTACACGTTTTTTTTAAATATCACAACGATGGAAAAACAAAAATCCTAATAATCATAATAATCAATGTAATTAATAATTAAGAAAGAGAAAAGCTCGCGTGGTTTTGGCGCGTCAGCTCGAGCTCCAACAGTCTGCTTCAGCTTTAAATAATCATCAATAATTTTAATAATTATTTATTTTGACGTCGATTTTGAAATTGTCTTTTACAAAATAATAATGATAATAATAATAATGATAATAATAATAATAATAAAGAAGAAAGGGTAGTTTAGGAAGAAACAGTAAAAAGGAACATGCGCAGACTGAAAGTGGAGCAGAATTAACGGTGCATCGATTTATTATTACTACTATTACTATTATTATTATTATTATTATAAATTAAATGAAACATCAGAGCCTCTTTAATAATCACTCATATTAACTGTGTTCCTGTTTGAGTCTTCAGACTGACTGAGATGATGCTGCACACACACACACACACACACACACACACACACACACACACACACACACACACACACACACACACACTACAGTAAATATGAATTAATGCACACTGAACTATTTTCATCATGTTGTCACATTTAAGCCCCTGATTTATAAACTTCTGTAAAGATATAAAAGAACACCAGTCCACCATAAACTCAGATTATTCCAGGGATTATTCAGATTATTATTAATGTTGTTATTAGATTATTTTATATTCCTGTTTAAATCCTGATGGTTAAACTCTGACAGTCACACTGTTAGTTTTAGCCTCACTCCTTCATAAGGTTAGTAAATTAAATCCAACATCTCTCTTCTCCTCTTCTCTGTTTTTATTTTTTTAGAAAATAATACATTAAATTCAACATGAAACGCTCAGAAACGGTTTTCTTTTATATTTGATCTTTAAATAAAAACATGTTTCTATTGTAGGGGAATAAAACAGGAATAAAACTGAAAGTAAAAGAGATTAAAATTCAATATTTAAGACTGAAATACTGCGCAGCAGCTCCGTAATACCGGATATTATTATAAAGTTTGTATGTTTTATTAGGGTCTACATATGGAGACGTTTATTATTTAATAAATATTTTCAGTTATTTTTTAGTCAAACAGGTTGAATGTTAAAAAGCTTCACATTCAGCGGATCACTGAAACATCTGAAGATGAAATAAAGATGAAAAACGCCTTAAATGCGCAATAATATCATTTTACTCTTTTGCCGTTACTAAAGTCCGTTTATGCTGTTGAAGTCTGTCTGTCAGTGTGTGTCTGTGTCTGTCTGTCTGTATGTTTTTAGTGTTTCTGTGAAGTCTGAGCCAAATCAAACACACACACACACACACACACACACACACACACACACACACACACACACACCTAATGAATTCAAAATGTCTCCTGAGCTCGTGCAGCTTTATTTACATTTATTTACCTTTAATTCCGCCACGAGCTCAAATCCGGTACAGGACCGGACACCTCACATACACACACATGTACATATATACACACAAGTGTCACCTTATAATGAATTTAAATGAGAGAGTCACACTCACACACACACTCAGTATTGTGTATATACGGTAATAATCACGCAGCAGCATTAGTACAAACAGCCGCTCATGTAACTGAAGTTCTTCACCTGCTGCTCGCGGTACAAACACACCTGAGAGGGTTCAGGTTTCCATGACAACAAAACACTAATTTATCCTTTTAATCAACATTTGGATCAATAAAAAACTGATTTAGTTTAAAATGAACTGGTGAGGTTTAAAGAATCTGATTTAAGAGTAATTAGAAAACACAAATATTGTTATTTTATTGGTTTATTTTAATCTAAAATTCTGGATCAATGTTTGTTTTTAAAGCTGATGAGTTATTTATGTTTTTATTTAAAGTCTTCAGGTTCTTTAAAGTAAAAGGATTAAATTCAGTTACAGTAAATGACAGTAAATACTGCCGTTTGATCCTGGAGCTCACATTACATTATTAATTTCACTCAAACTCTAATAAACTGGAATTATGAGAATAATCTGAAAACACGTGTATGTTGTGTTTCTGTGTTAAATTAAACTGGAGTAGATTTTAATCCGGTGTTTCACAGTAAAATACAGTAAAATTAAAAAATTAAAGATCAGGTAAAGTGTAAAAATAAATCTGAAACTAAATAACTTCAATAGTTTTTTTTAGAATATTTCTGATCATTTCCTCATTTTTACTGTCAAAATTCTTATTTTAAAAACATGTAATTCAGTAAATTTACAGAGAAAAAAGTAAAAACACCTTTTTATTATTTTGTTAAATTATAATTTCTTTTTGAGCTTCTCTTTAAAAATCGGTTTATTCCCCCACTCTTAGTTTAAATATGTAAATAAATTATCCACCTGTTTACTGCTGAATTATATCAAATATTAAATTAGAATAAGTGTTTTTAATATTTTACCCCCCTCCCCTCACGCGCTCAGCCCTCTTGCCTTACCAGATGAGGGCCTGTCCGAGTACCGGGTACAGTAGACCCAGGCGGGCCACAGTAGCGGCTGGCTCTCCGGTGTGGAAGTCCCGGAGCCGTTCAGAACCACCAGCGAGGAGGGGGTGTTGTCCCCGGCCCCGCCGCCCGTCCTCTCCTCGGCTTTGACCGCGCTGCTCCCGGTAGAACCGGCCGCAGCTGCCGCTCCTCCTCCTCCTCCTCCTCCGCCGCTGCTCTTTTTGGGACTCGTCAGGGAGGTGGAGGAGGCGGAGGAGGAGGAGCTGTCGGTGCTGCAGTTCGAGTCCTGGCACGGGGTCCCGGGAAGGCTCGGCCTGCTCACCGCCGGGTGAACGCGCTCCCGGCCGGCGGAGGTGTGCGCCCTCTCCCGCGGGCCCAGGCCGAGCTCCTTCTTACAGCCGAAATCCGGCCGCAGGATGTTGTCGATGAAGAAGTTGGTGGTTCTGTGGGCCTGCTGGGCGACCTGCAGAGGCAGGATGGGCGGAGAGGGCAGGCTGGGGGCCGGGGACACGCTCTCCGGCTCGCTGCTGTCCGAGCTGTTCGGGTCCCGCTGCTCCTCCATCGCTGCTGCTCTGAAGAACGTGGCTCGTGCGCTCTCAATCCACTTTGTGCGCCTGCGTTTGTATCCAAAATGTGCCACGAGGACGAGCTAACACATGGTGGGCTTCTCTCCGGAGTGCTGCAGCTCGCGGTGGTTATCTGGGGGACATCCTGGCTGCGTAAAGGCGCTCCGGCGCGTCATGGTGGCTGAGTGAACACTGGAAACTGTGATGGCTGCTTTTGCGCACAGCTCGAGCTTTTCACCGCTGTATGACAGTGGGCTCTTCACAAAGTCCTCACATCACATTACACACACTCACACTCACACACACACACACACACACACACACACACACACACACACACACACACACACACACACACACACACACACACACACACACACTCCAACCGGAGGCGCATGAATAACATCTAAAGGCGCAGCGGGCCAATCAGCGGCCGGGACACTTTTGGACATGGGGTGACGACGTCCAATAATGTCAGGCGTCTCTGAGCCAAAAGGGGAGCAGAGGAGCAGCGCGCGGCGTCACACACAAACCAAACAAGAGATTATCACTGCTCCGCGCGCTCTGCCGCCGTGTTACCGTGGATCTGTTACATCTTCACACACACACACATTCTCCACGATGAAGTCTGCTGCTGCTCTCAGAGTGGAATTCACCCTCTGGATCTTTAAAGTGGACCAAACACCCAGATTCTGATTTTATAAGTTTTAGATCTGATCGTAAAACCACTTCCTCTCTCTGAAATCTGCTTTAATTCACCAAAACCATCCTCTTTCCTCCCTGAACCCAAACTCTCCCTGCACATCCTCCACACTCCACATCTTCTCCCTTAGCTCATCTATTTAGAACAAAAACCCAGAGTCTATGCTGTTGAAAATGTCATATAAGGCTGGTTCTTTGGCAGACTGTTGATTGTTGATATGTTGACACCTACCCCTCATGCTAAACTAGGACTGGGCGATTTGGCCCAAAAGATGATCGGATATACTTTGTCATATCGTCCGATCTCGATTATTATCACGATTTTTTTTAAACTGCCAGTTTTAAAGCATCTGTACTTAAAACTAAAAATTAAATGGATAAATACTAAACAAAACGTTAAATAACTTTTCTTCTCAACAATAACATCTTCGGAGGATGACTCAGAGTCATGGCTGACATCTATTTTTCTGCCCTCAGCTCCACCTTCGGTTATTCTGTTTACTTGTCCAGCAACTTAAAGAAGTGAGCAGGAAAAGCTCGACTCTGATTGGCTGTTGTGACGCACATTTTCGCCAAGTTTGATCAGTAAATAAGCTCACAGCTGATCACCGTGATCGGACTGCAATTTATCCCGATCTTAATCCCGATCATATAATCGCCCAGTCCAATGCAGAACTGTCTGTCTTGTTGCTGGAGGACTTTTTTTAAAGCAGTAATTTTCATTTAAATCTATTTCACAACACTTTAAAAACTCCTCATAGGGTGTTTGGATGTCATGATGTGGTGAACAGTTGGGGTACTTCATAGAAGTGATAATACAGGCTGAAGCATCACTATTTTAGTCAAATGAAGACACTCTCTACAAGCACACCCATAACATGCCATCTACTGCTCTTTGCTTTCTCACAGCTCACCAATGAAACCATGTTGCCTCGTCTTAGTTGGGCTGTAAACATCCCAGTTCTGCTTCATTGACTAGTCCCCTTAATGTCTCCAACCAGATCCCCAAAGAGGATTTCTTTAAAACACTGAGGTTTAGAGCTGGATGGATGGCGCCTCCACCTCACCCTCCCTCCCTCCCTTCCTCCCTCCTTCCTCTGAGGTGTTTCCAGCCTCCATTGTCAGCCTCCTCTTATTGTCTCCAGGCCGGGCTCTGCGTAAAGACGCGCGTGTTATCAGTGTGCGAGGGGACGGAGGATAATTTATAGGTTTTAATTACTCCACATTCCGCCTGATCAGCCGGACGTTCATCACCTGACTGCGGGAGGAAAAAGCTGCTCAAAGGCTCTGTCACCGTCCGCGCGCCAAACACTCCATCACGGCGCGCGTAAAGAGGGGCCGATAGGATAATAAATGCAAACATGAGGGACAGGCGCGTGCAGGCGGAGGAGCTTTTTCAGAGGTGTTAATAGAAAAAAGAAAGAGAGGCAGAGCTGGAACAACTTCATTCATTTTAAAGCTTTCCTTTGATTGGTTTCAGGCCGGTGTGCGCGTGGAAACCTGAGAAAACACCTGTGCTGTTTTTGTAGACCAGATACCTGAGACTAAAGAAACAACAGTGAGCAGCCACTCCTTAAATAAAGACAGAAGATGAAGTGCATCCTAAACCCGATATCAATTCAGAAACACCCTGACACAAAGACACGGCCTGGGTTTGGTGATTTGGTGCCACAGAGATTCAAACCAGAGATGCACTAATCCATTTTTTTTTCAGATCCAACCTGATATCGATACCTGGGCTGAGCCAATCGGCCGATATCCAATACCGATTCAATACTACTGTTGAATGAATAACTGTATACCTTGCCCTGTGGTTGAAGGCATCAGGCTTGACATTAGACTTGTTTTAAAAAAAAGTAACAAATTAACACAGATATAAATTTACTTAATATTACTTATTAAAAAATAACAAATTTCACATTAGCACACAGCAAAAAGAAGTACGATTTCCATGTGTTAAGAGAAAAATTAATCGGAATGGATCGGAATGCTGGATCGGCTTCATTCATCAGATATCGGATCCAGTTAGTTTGTCAATATTGGAGTAGATATCTGATCCAAATATTTGATCGGTGCGTCCCTAATCCCTAACTCTGTGTTTTAATTTATTCATTTGTAGCTCTAACTGCTCATTTCTCCTATCTTTTTGTTTTTTTCTCCTTCCTCATAATTTCTAAAAAATCTAAACTCTAATCCCGTTTCTTCCTGGCAGTGAAACGGTTTAATCCCACAGCAGCTGTTTATTTGTCTCCATGCTGTTCATGAGTTTACAGTTGATGTGGATCCTGCAGGACTGCTCTATAAAACCTCCACATATCAAACAAAGTGACGCACGGGCCAACCGAAAGCACGTCCTCCTCGCGCTGCTGTCACCTTTAATAACACCTTTTTTTTTAAAGTGTAGAGTCAGTCAGGCAGAGCACGTGCACGCACACACACACACACACACACACACACACACACACACACACACACACACACACACACACAAAGAGAGAGAGAAGGATTTAGAGGAGAAATCCGGGGTTTGTGTTCGGATTGAAGGTTCAGGAGGAGATAAAACGAACCGAAGGATCCAAAAACAACCAGTTAGTTTGTCTGAGAACAAAAACATAAAAACACAAAAACACACACACAGGCCTGTTCTTCTTCTCCTGTAGTATCAGCAGGTTTTAGGAAACATTTGTGACACGAAAGATGATCTAAAAAAGAGAAAAAAGACGAACAATTTTAGGCGTTTCAGAGTCTTTTTCGGAGAGAAGTTCAAACAACAAAGATGAAGGTTTTCACTGCAGTTTGGACTCAACATGGTCTCATTATATCCTGTTTTAAATTCATGATTTCATGTGGATGTTCGCAGTTATTCTACAGTCTGGATCCATATTCGTCACGGGTCTTTATTTTGAGGAGCTCGAGCACCTTTTTATAAGACAAACAGAAACACTAATGCTGTTTTTACACAATAATCAGTTTTTATAAATAATATTTAATCAACAAATGAGAAATAATGTCCTTTTTCCTTGGAGATGAGGTTAAATATGGAGCTAAAGGTTTGAGATATTTCTGTGAAAGCTGCTGCTCTCTGGGGTTTATTCTGAGAGACCAGGACGGTGTTTAAATCAGCATTAAAGTGGATTCATCCTTTTCTTTTAGAGTGATCAATAAAAAGATTTTATTCTCTAAAAGAAAAGCATTAAAATGTTTTAAAACGATTTAAATAACCATCTTAATTCGCCGTTTATGTGAGAATAAACGTGATAATTTCGGATAATTCCATGTTTTTATTCCCTGGTGTTGTTAGATTAATCCTAATCTGTGATAAGAGAACAGAGTCTAAGAGATGTTGGATTTTCCACATTTCTAGTTCAGAAAGAGAGAGGAGAGGCTGCAGGTTCGAGTTTAATCCTCCCTGAGTTTCAGAATCAAAACACACCTGAGGAGGAGGAGGAGAGGAAACGAACACAGGTGAGTCTGTTTACAGTCAGAATATAAAATACTCAGATTATAATCTAATCTAACAGTCAGTCACCATCACAGGCAGCGGAGTGAATCTGCTCTTTTCTACCAAAAACAGATTGATAACCGGATTAAACACGAGAGGAAATAATTTAATTATTCAGAATTTAAACTTGATGAATGAATGAACAGATCAGGAAATTAAAGAAAATTAACCATAAAGAGGAGCTGCAGCTGAAATCAGACTGTGTTAGTTTACACATCTGGAAAATTAGGTCACAGAGACACCTGGTGGTCAGGGAGGGAAACACACACACACACACACACACACACACACACACACACACACACACACACACACACACACACACACACACACACACACACACCATCTTTAAGTGCAGCTTTATCAACTCTGAGTTTGTTCATGTTTATTGTTTTTCTTTCTCCGGTTTTTCTGCGTTTTTGTCATGAATAAAAAACTTCAGATTAATAAAAAGATTCAAACAGAGAGAGAGATTAACTAAAAGTAATTCAACTGAAATTCAGATTTTTATCTTAAACACAAATTTAATGATAAACAACAGAAAAGTGAATTTTTTTTAAAAGGTTTCAATGAGTTTTTTTCTTTCACAGCTGATCAGACTGATGAAACTGGAGCAGCTGCTGAACTGGATAACCAGTTTATAACAAGAGTAAACCCTGAAGTCTTTAATCTAAAATTGAGATTTGGTGACACCTAGTGGTCTCACTGCAGATTGCAACCAGCTGTGATCATTCAGAAATGGAGTTATTATCAGATTTTCAGACAGGAGATCCTGTCAGAGAAGAAGCAGTAAGGTGACACTGACTGAGAACATGACTTCTACATTTTGTTTCCCAACATTTGCTGTGCATTTTGCCTTTTTCCCGGTGAAGTGTGTTGATTTTCACAAAGGTAAAATACTTCCTGCCTTCGCCTCACACTGGAAAACTAGACTCATATCATGACCAGTGATTATACTGAATAGACGCTCAGTACAGGCAACCAATCAGATCAAATGTCTGACAGCGAACTGTAGTCAGCCTTTCTAGAGTCCTCACGACAAAACGTCAAAGAGACGCAAAGACCTCACAGAGGAAGGAGATTATTGTGTTGGAAAAGACATGCAAACAATAAACACTGTTACATCTCATTTTTGATATTTTGATATTTATCGATATCAAATGATATGGAAAAATAAATCATGATAAACTTTTTCCCATATCCCCCAGCCCTACTCCAAAACAACAGACCACTCCTTTAAGAAGATCTGTTAGCACATCTTTACTTTAACGACTTTCCTCTTTGTCAGTTTTCCCACCAAAACTAATTCATTGTTTGTAAAAACTCACAGCTGATCAATTTTGACCAGTGAGGGTACAAACAGTCCTGCTGATGCTGCACCACAAAAAACAAAAATCACTTCCAGAAGAAATCCTGACCGACAAAAAGGTGAAGGGCCCGAGCGTTGACCCCTGAGGTGCTCCTCAGAAACAGAACCAGCACAATAATGCTGATTAAAAGTGAGTATCTGTGCGTGTTCATCAGGAACACAGTGTGGTTTCATTTCTCTGTATGAAGGTTTAAAAAAGAACATTTACTTCTCATCATCACCACCACGGAGAAAAACGGGGGAGCTGTTTACTCTCTTTATGGTCAGAGTTCACTTTGGACAAACTTCATTTGTAAATGAAAAAAAAGAACAACATCAGCAGCAGCAGCAGCAGTACCACAGAGTGATAAGTTTCAGTTCCTTTACTGTTAGCAGAACTACTGTACAGTCAACGGAGGGAGAAAACTGAGGACAGGAAACAAACAAAAAAAAGAGACAAAATGAGAGAAAATGAGAAACGAAAGCTGACTCAAGTGGAAGTTCAGAGCTGGAGTCGAAAACAAAAATAAAAATCACATTCATGAAAACTCTCATTAAACCTCTAACCTGGATCCTTCACAGGTCCCCTAAAGAACCACAATGAACAAACCCTAATGGTGCCTTTAAAGACCACATGTGTCTGTGTGAAGATGCTCTGTTTGGTTTTATCTTCATTAAAGGGATATTCTGGCATAAAATTAATTTAGGGTCAAACCCACTATAACAACGAGTTCCACAGCTCAAGGAAGAACATTTATGATCATCCTGGCAATAATTAATAATAATTAACAATAATAATAATAACAATAATAATAATAATTATTATTATTATTACTACTACTATTATCCTTATTATTATTATATTATATATTTTTTTTCCATTCTTATTATCGTTATTTTTATTATCATTATTTTAATCATTATTATTAATATTATTATTATTATAATTATTATTAATAATATTAGTAATATAATAATAATTATTATTATCATAATAATAATTATTATTATTACTACTAATACTACTAAAACTACTACTACTACTACTACTACTACTACTATTATTATTATTATTATTATTATTATTATTATTATAGTTTTCATTTTAGTTATTATAATACTATCAAATATCACATGATAATGAAGGAAAAGTCTGATTAAATATCTCACTGCACTAGAATAATCAAAGTTGCAGGTTTTCACTGAACAGACCTTAGAAACTGCACATTTCTTCATTTTTAATCTTTGTAATTGTTTTGATTTTCTCATGAATTAAAGTCCAAACTTACCCAAATTAATAAACTCTGTTATTATCTCAGTAGAATAATTAAATCGACAATATTTGGGTTCAAAAAATGAACGACAGTAAATGTCTAATTACTCCAGACACGCTGCAGTTTTATGTTCATGATAATCTGCTGCAGTTAAATGTTTTAGCTGGACTTTTAATGAATTCATAGAAAAAAAAAAAACATCAGGTATATAATCCAGAGTTCAGATCACGAGATATTTATGTCAGCAGCAACGTTAAAGTGTTTTACTCTGACAGGAAAATACGACAAATACATGAACAGATAATAACGTTGAAAGTGACAACAACAACAATAATTATGTCAACCAATAACACAACAATACACAAAAATCACCATCAGGCAAACTGTGCGATCATGTGCAGATATGAAAGATGACGGACAGTTACTGTTTTAAACAGACCGACTCTCTTTTGGGACAGAAAACAGTTTTATACTCAGAGAAGGAGACAAAGAGAAGATCTAACATAGATCCAGTTTATGATTTAAAGACTAAAACTGTCTGATCGTATTTCCACCTTAAACTTTTATTTCCTTCTGCAGACTGTCGAGCCGTGTGAAGGATCTGCTTTAGCTCAGCTCTGACAAGAATCAACAGTTCATCCTCATTATCTCCTAAAGTCTCTCTGACTCTGACGAACACGCCGGACCTCATCTCAAGACGGTTTGTTTTGTATTTTGCAACCCTCTGTGGTAACTTCCCTTTAGTCAAAAACAAGAGAGAAAAACTGGATTTCAGCCGCTTCAGTTCCTCAGTTCCTGCCCCTCCTCTGAAATCAAACTCCATGTGACTCTTTTTCATACTTTTGTTCTGTCACGATCTGGGTTTCTGATTTTCGTCACGCCTCTGAGCGTTTTAAGACTTTATAAAGCGGGACGTGAAGGGGAATCTGGACTCTGCAGAGCATGGAGTCGTCGGTGGACTACTCGAAGGATCGGGTCTCCTTCACTCAGACTAACCCGCTGTTTGACATGTCGCTCAGCAGGACTGATCTCTACAGTTTCCAGCCCGATGGTGAGTGAAGAGAGAAAGCCCAGATCGTTGAGGAGTGTGAGGGGAATCAGGAGAGACAGATTTACTCAAGTACAGATCCAGTCAGGAAGGAAACTACAGATGAGAACGCTCAGAAACTCATGATGTTCAGTTTATCTGATGGTATGAGATTAAATGAGATTATTTTTGTCATATTTTGAATTCATTTTAACAGATTAGAGCAATTAATCTGAATCAAGTTAATATAATATAATATCTCCTGGAGGATTTGGACCTTTAGATCCATCACTGATTCAGATTAACTCTGAATGGTCTGAAACTATTCGTTTGGATCCCTGAAGTTAAAGGACAACATGAGAACTTTTCAGGAGTTTCATTCTGGTTAATGTTTCTGTTTTTAAAATAAAAAGTCCTTCAAACCTGAAACTTTTGTTCCCAGCTCAGAGTTCAAACCAAAGAAAGGTCGTCTGTTTGTTTGGACTCACTCAGAAAATCTCTGAACTTCACTTCTGCAGGTCTGAGGCTCTTTTTCTCAGACCTGTTCGTCTGCACCTGTCTGTCAGAGGTAGAAGCTCAGACTCACTTCTGTCTGCAGGTTATTTTGGAAATGTCTGCGGGTTATTTTCATTATGTCATGTGCACAGCTGTGTCATAATGTGCCATCTAAGTAGCAGCAGGAAGACAGGCGAAACCACAATGAGCCTAAAAAACGTTTCATTTCGTAATAATCGCTGATAAATCTGAAGATTTTAACCACTATGAGGAATCATGGGACTGAATGATTCAGGCGGATCACAACATCATCAGAAATACAGTTAAAGCTGCGTTTAGACGACCTCACATGTTTCAGAGAGAAATGAACAAACAGTGAAGAAGAAGAAGAAGTGTAATCATCAGAAAGTCTGACCCAGTTTGATCATGAGTGGAACCAGTAAGAGTTCAGTCTGACAAACACAGAACAAGAACAAGAATAACAATCAAACCACAAAATCAAACTGAAAAACCAACACGAGCGGATTTCAGCTGAAACATGGAGCAACGAGGAAACAGCAGGAAGCAACGGAGCAACCGACCAAACCAACCGGACCGGACCAACCGACCAAGCAAACAAGAAAACAATCAGCTCAGCAAGAAACCACACAAATAACCAGCCAAGCAACCAACCAAACAGGCAACTAACCAACCAATCCAACAATGCAGCTCAGCAAGCAGGCAAACAAGCAACCAAGAAAATAAGTGCACAGCCCACGAACCAACCAACCAAAAATCAACCAACACACCCACCAACCAACCAACACACCCACCAACCAACCAACCAACCAACCAACCAACCAACAAAAATCTAACCGAGCAAACAAGCAAACAAGCAGCCAAGCAACTAACCAAACAAACAGGCAACTAACCAACCAATCCAACAATGCAGCTCAGCAAGCAGGCAAACAAACAAGCAACCAAGAAAATAAGTGCACAGCCCACTAACCAACCAACCAAAAATCAACCAACCAACCAACAAACTAACCGAGCAAACAAGCAACCAAGCAAACCAGCAGCTAAGCAAGCAAACTAACAAGCAACCAACCAACCAACCAACAAAAATCTAACCGAGCAAACAAGTAAACCAGCAGCTAAGCAAGCAAACTAACAAGCAACCAATCAAGCAAACAAGTGACCAAGCAAACAAGCAGCTAAGCAAGCAAACAATCAAGAAACCCAGCAATCAAGAAACCAAGCAACCAAACAAGCAACCAAGTAAGTATCTAAGCAACCAGCAAACAACTAAACAAGCAGCAAAGCAAGCAAACAAGCGTAAAACCAAACAAGCAAATGAGCAAACAACTTAGCAATTAAGCAAGAAACCAGGCAGCAAACGAACAAGCAACCAAGCAGATTTACTCACAGGTTAGCAGCTCTGTCGGTCTGTTGAAGTCCGGTCTGAGGAGTCCGGTCTGTTGAAGTCCGGTCTGAGGAGTCCGGTCCGTTGAAGTCCGGTCTAAGGAGTCCGGTCTGTTGAAGTCCACCATGTGTAACAGACGCTCCAACAGAAAGCCACTCAGTCCGAAAACTCTCCACAGAAGGTCCAGCACCGATCACCGTCTCCATAGGAAATCACGAACCCGGAACACGGACTGTTTTTAGGATAAAATCCGCCCGAGGAAAACCGGCGTGTTGGTCAGAGCTCCGACATCAACGTTTCCGGGTGGGCGGGTTCAAATTTCGCGCTAAAATTGTGGAGCTGTGGTTGGATGATGGGGTGGTTGTGGGCGTGGAAAACGGAAGGTATGGAAGGTGTTCCAGACCAAAAAAGGAGAAGAGGAAGAAGAAGGTGAAGGTGTGTGAACAGAAGCTGAAGGTTTCCTCACCTCTTTAAGACCTCTCTGTGGACTGTGTTAAAATAATGTGGATATAAATATTTAAATACTTAATTATAAAAATGATTAAGTTTATTTCCTCTGAACTCCAACTGTGAGTTCAGATCAGTGTCTTTAGTTCTGCTCATCACCTTTACTGTGCACTAACTGTAACTCTGTGATTGAACACTGTGACCACAAGGGGGCAGTAATGTGTAATTTTAGTGCCGATCCACCAGAGCAGTCTGCAGACAGAAACATGAGGGTTCAGCAGGATTTCAGGTTTATTGATTTATTTCACGAGGAGGTCAGAAACTGTTCAGAGAGAGTTCAGCAGACAGACATAAAAACAAAGAGCTGTAAGAAAAACAGAAGAAGCAGAAACTCTGATCTTATAGAAGGACAGTGTGGGATCAGGAAAAACGCAGACTTGGTCATTTTCCACCTACTTTAAGTCTCTCTGGCGTTGATGGCGTTGACCCGAACATCTGAATTTGGTGTCCAACTCAGCCGAGCTGGGCTCTCAACTTCTCCAGGGTGGTCTCCAACTCGCCAAGGCGTTCCTCAATCACAACCTGCCTGTGACTGAGTTCACATGAAGCTTCATTTCTATCTTCCTGAAACGACTTTCTCTAAAGTTTGCCGATCACTCTCTGAAAAGTTGTTTTTATATTTCAGATCTGAGGCCGGCGAGGTCCAGGAGACCGTGGTGCTTCTATTTCATTGTTGTTTACCTCATCCTGCAGACCGGCCTCAACGCGTTCCTCATCTATAAAGGTACCTCTGTCTGCTGATGGGGTTAGATATTATAATAAAGATTAAACATTAATCCACATGATCATCTTGTTCCTTTTGTTCACAGTTTTTAAGTTGGAGTCCTCGCTGTCGAACCCTCGTCAGGAGAAGCAGACGTCCAATCACATCACTCCAGACGGTCAGGAAGAAACCAACTTTGAGACCCTCCTTCGTAACAACAGTCAGGAAACCAAGGATCTGAGGGGCCGCCTGGGGGTCCTGCAGACTAAGGTCCTCCTCCTCCTCTTCTCTGTCTGTGTTTAGGGGCTCTGAGTCCACTCAGGGTCCAGGTCTATAGTCCTCAGAGGGGGGTTCACCTGGGTCAGCTGTGAAGTTTGTGGATTTATTTTACCGCCTCTAGCTTTAGCATCACTCTGCTGGTTGTCATGCCAACAGGTGGACGGTCTGTGCGGGGATGAGGGTCAGCTGACCCGTCTGTCGTCTGGCCTGAACCTGCTCAACAGCACCACCCGGAGGCTGGAGGGGAGTGTGAGCAGCATCAGCCTCAGACCAGGTGAGGTCAACCTCTGAGGGCGGAGCAAGGAGGGGACGAAGCTGATAGGCTGAAACAGAGTTCCACTCCCATCAGGGCAGAGAAGGCGAAGGGTGGGAACATCAAATTAATTAATTAGGCAGGTTATGAATATTTAATGAGTCAAAACATAAACAAACGGTCATAAATCGAACATAAACTAATGATCAATCAGAGAAAGAGACAATAAATTTATACATAAGAAGAAAAGAAACATGAACAGAACAGAGAATGACGTGTTTAAGACGTGATCAGATGAAATTTTAATGATATTTTAAAGGATTTGGGGGATAATATTGATTTTAGAGATCCATCCAGATCATTCTAGAGTTTCAGTCCTCTACAGTGATGTTAGACCGATCAAGAAGTTCGACAGGAAGGGAACTGAAGATGGTGGTTTTGTCTTGCTGAGTACGGGTGAAGGTCAGATGAGAAGGTTAAAAAGTTTCTGAAGGAGTCAGGAGGGTTTTTGTTTCTTATTGATGAACTTATAGACAAACAAACAAACGAGAGTGAAAGACGATCAGTTTGTGGATCAGTAAGATGGAGGATTTAGAAAAGAGAGGAGTCTGCTGGATCAAGAAATCATTCTGAAGAATCTTTTCTGTGTTAATCATTTCTTTCTGCCGTCTTCATGTTGTGTATGTTCGTTTATTAACTTAATATTTTACGTGTTTTTCTTTGTGTGGTCACTCTCAGGACCTCCTGGTCCAACAGGGGCGCGTGGAAATCCAGGTTCACCGGGAGAGAAGGGTCCTAAAGGTGAGTCAGACTAAATCATCCATCAGCTGATCGACCTTCAGACGAAAACAAATCCACGTTTGACCCGAGCTTCATCAAACTCCTGACCTCAGAGTAGGGCTGGGCGATAGGGGAAAAAGTTTATGATTTATTTTTTTCATATCAGCTGATATCGATCAATATCAGGATCTAAAACTGTAACAGTGTTTATTGGTCTCATGTCTTTTCCAACACAATAATCTCCTGCATCTGTGAGGTCTTTGTGTCTCTTTGGCGTTTTGTCGTAAGGCGTTGCTCTAGAGAAAGCCGACTGAATGGTCGTCTGTTTCGGCTCCTCGCTCCTCTCGGGGTTTGTAACCTTTGGCGTTGCGCGTGCTCTGCGGCGTGGCGCTGCTTCAGGTGGTGAAAAAGATTTGCGGTATTCCCCGACTTTGTGAGAACATGTACTCGACATAATTTACAGTCCACATTACTCTGCTTCATGTCCGACCTCCAAAAACCAAAATACCTCCACACCACCGACGTTTTCCTAACGCCAGTGTTGTGGTTGACGATGTCATCTTTTAATTGGGTATTCGTATAATCTACCGAAACATGGCAGAATGACGACCTTGAAAAGCATATTGACCATGTTTTATGTTGATATTGAGGGGAATTAATATCGATATATACCATTATTGTTCTATCGCCCAGCCCTACCTCAGAGCGCGAGTTTTCTGAGCGTACAGGTTTACCTCGTTAGCATAAAGGCGCTCACAGCTTTCAGCTGCAGGTCCGTCCGCTGATGATCCCGGCGTTGATGACCTGTCGTCTCCTGTCAGACGGCGATGAGAATCAGCTGATGGATGAGCTGCAGCCATTATTTCATATCCTCTCATAACTTAGTCAAGGCAGCGCTGACATTTCCTGAGTGAGATCTCCATCAGAGCTCAGACCTCAGAGTCTGAGACCGAGGTCTACACCTGTCCCCCCTCACCTGGACCTGGAGAGTACGGCTCATACTCACACCTGTTGTTGTCTGTTTCCAGGTGCCAGCGGTGTTGCTGGACCAAAGGGGGACATGGGACTGAAAGGAGAGAAAGGAGTCGCAGGTGAGTTTAATGTAGAGAAAATCAGTGAAAATCAAAGAGTCAGAGTGAACGTAGAGCTGGAGAGGGAGGGTCTAACTGACAGAGACCAGCAGACCATCAACCCTTTATCTTCATTTAGATACCCATGAGGTACTATCTAGGTATCAGCTCCTCCTCCTGGGGTCCATAAGAAGACATTAAACATCTATACAGATTAAAATGATAAAAGTCCAAACAGGAGAATTAAACAGGACGTTAAAATCAGAACTGAAACAAGAATTATGATGACGTTACACCAGTACAGTATGATTCTTTATCATACTGTACTATTTTTTAATTTATAGATTTAACTGTCGTTTGTTTTTAGAATTTGATCCAAAGACAAAGCTCTTTATTTTAATTAAGAAAAAGCTTATTACGCCCGACCCAGTTAACAGCTGCTTGTAGTTCCTTATCTAAAGCTCTTGACAGATCCTTCACTGATCTTGTTGGTAGATAAACGGTTGTATCATCTGCGTACACAAACACTCGAGCTCGATTTAAAACCAGAGAAAGGTCATCGGTGAATATAGAGAAGAGGAGTGGCCCCGGGCAGCTTCCTTGTGGTACACCACATCACAACTGTTTCATATTTAAAAAGCTCCTATTATAAAATACACAATACTTTCTGTTACACAGATCACTTTAAACAGATAACTTCAGATTCAGGCTTAAACTTGTCTGTGTTTCAGGTCCACCTGGACCCTCTGGACCCCCAGGACCTCCTGGACCCTCCGGTAAGCTTCCATTGACCCTCTTTAGAGTCGGTTCAATGACACCCTTAATTTAATTTTAATTTAATTTACCTTCAGCATGTCTTCAGTGTCAGGTTAGTGAATTATCGCGTCTGTTTCAAATTGAGGTCTTCAAACTAAAGAGGCTGAAAATCAGACTCAGAGACACGAACACAGAGACCAGGATCAGGATCACGTCTGTTCTTTATCAGCATATTTAAGAGTTTGTTTGAATGAAGTCTGATCATCAGAATCATAATGATCTTCCTCATCCTGAGACGTCATGATGACCTCGGTGATGTTTCCTGCAGCAGAGCCTCTCTGGTTTCACATCATGTTTCAGGCTCACAGAAGATCCTCCAGGCTGTGATTGAAATCCTTTGAAACATTAAACTAATCAGCAGATTTCACACAGACCTCAGTTTCTCTTCCTCCTCTGACTCGGTATGTTTGCGGCGATATTGCTGACATGTGGATATCTCCGATGATGAGTGACAGACGGGCGTTTGCACAGTTTGCATTTCTGCAGCTGAACCACAAAAATAATAAACCAGGAGATCAGCGTTAGTTTGATTTCAGAACATTTAGAAACCGAGCTTCAGGCGACCAGACTCAGATCTCAGATCAGCTGATTCAATGACTGAACCTGTTCTGTGTCCTGGGATTCCAGGGAGTCAAGGACCTGGTGCCAAGGGAGAAAAAGGAGATCCTGGGATCCAAGGTGAGGGTTTTGATTTTGTTCAAGGGGTCCTGCAAAGATGCAAAGACACAGTGAGGCCCCCTCCGTGCAAATCTGAAATGATTGATTGATTGATTGATTGATTATAAATCATGTCTGTTTCATGCACACTTTTATGGATTTCAGGACCTGGAGGAGAAAAAGGCGACACAGGAGACATCGGTTCAGCCGGTATTTAAGTTCATTTACATTTATTTTTATTTTTGTAACTCAGCAGCTGTTTAACCCTCAGACTGAGCTGAAGAGAGAAAACACTGGAGCTGAGGATTTAAAGGGATAATCCACCGTAAAACTAATTAAGGGTCAAACCCACCGTAACACCGAGTTAGACCCCCCCTCCAGAGATGAATGTTTCCGACCTCTTGCTTCTCTAGTTATACCAACTTTAGTAACGACCGCAGGATAGTAATACAGAGAGCCACGCCCTCAACCAAAACGCCACTCTATAGCCACAAATAATGCTCAGAACAGCACCTAACTTCATCAACAGGACATATAGGGTCACAGACATAGTACTAGACACCAAACATCTTTTTAACTTTGACTCATTTCTTTAGCAAAGAGACTAAACACAACTCACCTACTCTCTTCCAGCAGACGCTTGTTTGTAGAGAGACCTCAGGCCAGTCCATTACAGACTACAGCGGGGTGCCGCAGCTCAAGGAAGAACATTTATGATAATTTCTTCATGGAAATACAATCAGACCGAGACGCTTAGACAGAAGAACTACAGCGTCTGTAAAATGATTAATATGGTGATTATTACTTCAAGGAAATGATAAAGAAATGATCATAAATGTTCTTCCTTGAGCTGCGGCACCCCGCTGTAGTCCATGGACTACAGCGGGGTCCAAAGAGTTCCACCGCACACAACGTGGGCAGAATGTAAACACGTCGTTCTTTTAACCAGTTAATAAGTTTACATTCTGACCACGTTGTGTTTCTTTTTAGGATGTTTATCTGATGGTCTGAGCAGCAATAACAGGATCAATGTGTGGTATTGATCAGAAAGACATCAGGTTTGATCAGTTATTAGTCAGACTTGAACTTGGACTGAGTAATTAAACCAAACGAGCTCTTCACCCCGATGCTGGAGGACGAACAGCTGCTGACAGACCCGGTCCAATTAAAGACCAAATATGTGACTCTGACTCTCTGCTGTCCTCCTCCAGGACCTCCTGGACCTCCTGGAGCAAAGGGAGACCAAGGCAGCAATGGTCAACAAGGACTTCCAGGTGAGCCGCAGACTTAAACCTGAGCTGGGATGAAACCAGTGAAACCAGTGAAACCCTGATTACTGGCTGTTGTGAATCTGTTTTGTGTTTTTGTGTTAAAGTAGATCAGTCTGAGAGCAAAGATCGGACCTCTGCTTTAACGATCTGACTCTCATCTTCTCATGTTGGGTTCTCCTCCTCAGGTCCAGTTGGACCTCCTGGTTTTAACGGGACTGAAGGTCAGTTTGAGTCTCAGAGTTAAACTGAGACTCACACAGATATGTTTTAGCTTTTAAAGACCATGTGACCGTTTGACCTTGAATGTCCTTCCTCCTCAGGACCACCAGGACCACCAGGACCTAAAGGGGCGAGAGGAGACGGAGAGTGTAAGTCTTCAGAGGACCGACCTGAGAACAGCTCAGACTTTTGAACGTCCTCAAACCCACAGAAAGACAGACGGACAGACGTTCGTCACTATTTCGGGTTTTAAAGTTTGTCATTGTTTCGGCTTTTAAAGTTCGTCATTTTTTCGGGTTTTAAAGTTCGTCATTGTTTCGGGTTTTAAAGTTCGTCACTGTTCCAGGTTTTAAAGTTCGTCATTTTTTCAGTTTTTAAAGTTCGTCACTGTTTCGGGTTTTATTCCTCCGGTCGGATAGCTGACCACGTTAGCGAACACAGAGGGCGGAGCCGTGTTCGTCTGAGGTCACATGGTTGAAGTGACGACAGACTCCTCTTTTGTGTCGGCACAGTGAACGTACGTCTTATCCCGGGGAGGTACCGCGGACGAGTGGAGGTGAAGTACAACGGCGTTTGGGGCACCGTGTGCGACGATTCCTTCGACGCCATGGACGCCACTGTGATCTGTAGAATGCTGGGATTCCAGAGGGCCTCGACCACCTACACAGACGGCGGAGGTATGAAGACACTTTTTACACTCCTTTAACTGTTCCAGACACTCCAGTTCAGATCTCTGGAGTTCATCGCAGCCCTGCAGCCAATCAGAGTCCGGTATTAAGACCCTGAATGAACCGTCTAACGCTCTCTGCAGGTTCTGGGAGGATCTGGCTGGATGACCTGCACTGCACAGGAACAGAAGCTGATATCTTCGACTGCCGACACGGCGGAATAGGCGTGAACAACTGTCAACACGGCGAGGACGTGGGAGTGGCCTGTGCTTAAACTGACGCCACCTGAAGACCTGAAAACGCCGAGGTTTGAGCCGGTCTGAAGGTTTCTGAGAACGAAGGGAGAAAATGACCATCAGGGAGTGAATGTATACATACATATATATATACATATATATATATAAGTATAAATATACATATATACGTATATTTGTGTGAGTTTGACTCTCCTCAGCCTGGACGACTGCAGACATACCGAACATTTCCACAGATTTAAGGTCTCGGTGTTTTAAAGACGACGTCAGGATGTGATGAAAATTCAGCTCTTCCTCGAGGAGACGATGATTTTAGAATAATCAGGTTTTAATCCAGTTTGTTTCTCATGATTTAAAGGTGTAAACGCACATTTAAAGACACTCATCCTTCTTTTTTATGATCTAGTTTTATATTTTTGAAGTTTTTTGTTTTCCGATGAATGTTTCTGTGACATGAAAAGTCTGTTCATGAGATTTTAGTTTTTCGTGTTGGGAATTGTGAAAAGTTTTGTTTTTATACGTAATAAAATGAGTTTGTGTCTCTATCATATTGTCGGGCTTTTATGTCTGCGTTCACTGAGAAGACTCAGCTGACCTTTCTGAGTTTTTCCACGAACACATCTGAAGTTTTCGTGAAACACTGAAGGGTCTGAAGTCTGAAGAGTTTAGAGCAGCAGGAAGAGTTCATGTTGGTGAAGTCTCGTCCACTCTCTGTCCTCACACGTCCTCCGACAGTCTGCTCTGATTTCAACATTAATTCGGTTTCACAAGATCTTCATACATGCTGACTTCGCTTTTGGACACATGGGAAAATCGCCCGGTTCACAGAAGGTTTGGATGATCGGAGCGTGTGCAGAAGTTCAGATTAGAGACATGAACCTGAAACAGAAAAGGTCTGTGTGAGTGAAGTGATGGATCTGCAGAGAGCCGGGTCAGTTTCTCATGTTCTGGTTCTGGTCTGAATGATACAGAGAGTCCAGATCTGAGTTTGACTTCTTAAACGTCTATGAATTATCACTGATATCAGAAAAAGTGACAGATATTCACACAAACTGTCACATAAACGCAGTTTTTCATTTCGCATAAAACATTCAACTTTACAGTCAATTTGCTGAAACCGTCAGACTGAATTAATCAGAAAAAAGATTTTAAAAACTGTTTAAAAACACAAACACCAAAGAATTTTTAATCAAAGCTGCTAAAAGATGTTCACACGCTCAGACCTCTCTCTCTCTCTCTCTCTCTCTCTCTCTCTCTGTGGTGTGGGAATATAGATGCTGCGTTCACATGCTGTAGGAAACAGGAGCTGTTTGTACAGTTCAGCTGCATCGCTCTAATAAATCACTGGTTTGTCTTTAAATACTGAATCAAATCTGGAAAAAGTCGCTTTATGCTGTGATTTGTTGTTGTTTTTTAAATAAGATTTATTAAATATAGGAGTGACAATAAAACACAACATCCTAAAATAGTTCATGTAAAATCTCCATAAACCCCTGAAGTGAGAAAAAGTGATATTTTCATCTTCTATTTAAAAGTTATGATGTTGTGCAAACCGGATGATTATCTTGTGCAAAAATGATGATAAAATGATAAGATGATAACGAAGTGCACTGAGTCACACGTTCAGCTCAGAAGATTATAACTTGTGCATGTAAGTAAAAAAGGATGATCAGAAGTGAATAACCCGAGTGTTCAGGATGAATAAAAAGTGTTAAAACAAAAATGTGCAGCAGAGATCAAACTCTACGATCAGATTCAAACTCTACTATCAGACTCTCTCTGCTTCAGACTCAAACTCTACAATCATCTCCGTTTTCACACTCGTGCTCCTGAGAAGTCAGATCATAAAATCAGAATACAGTTTACCAACATGACGGAGGATGAAGCAGCAGAGGTCTGACCCTAACTCAATAATGTCAGTCGTCTTTGCTTCACTGTGAACTCTGACACTGACTGAAGAATCAGATTTGACCACCAGATGGCGTCGATGTGTTTTTATTCTTTTGTTGGTGTTTCTCAGGGAGCAGAGGGACACAGAGGAGGTAAAACAGTCACAGCATCAGTTTCAGTTTCAGTGGAAAGATATTTATCAGATTCAGAGGCAGCTGTTTGTGAGGACGATCAGCTGTTTGTGAGGACCATCAGCTGTTTGTGAGGACCATCAGCTGTTTGTGAGGACCATCAGCTGTTTGTGAGGACCATCAGCTGTTTGTGAGGACCATCAGCTGTTTGTGAGGACCATCAGCTGTTTGTGAGGATGATCAGCTGTTTGTGAGGACGATCAGCTGTTTGTGAGGACCATCAGCTGTTTGTGAGGACCATCAGCTGACTGTGAGGACCATCAGCTGACTGTGAGGACGATCAGCTGTTTGTGAGGACGATCAGCTGACTGCGAGGACCATCAGCTGTTTGTGAGGACCATCAGCTGTTTGTGAGGACCATCAGCTGACTGTGAGGACCATCAGCTGTTTGTGAGGACGATCAGCTGACTGTGAGGACCATCAGCTGACTGTGAGGACGATCAGCTGTTTGTGAGGACGATCAGCTGTTTGTGAGGACCATCAGCTGACTGTGAGGACCATCAGCTGACTGTGAGGACGATCAGCTGTTTGTGAGGACCATCAGCTGACTGTGAGGACGATCAGCTGACTGTGAGGATGATCAGCTGTTTGTGAGGATGATCAGATGTGATCTGGTCCTCAAGGAAGAGGGAAAACATCAACTCTATTTTAAAGCTCCTGTGAGGAACTTCCAGATTGAGACAGTTTTGGCGCCCCCTTGTGGACAGAAGTTAAATCTGTTAATTTTGTCTCGTACATGTGTGTTAGATTGATTAAATCACGGACATGTCCTGCAGCTGATTTTGGTCTTGAAATAGATTTCTTATTTCTGACTGTAAAATAGAGAGATCTGTGGTCCTTCTCTCTGCACACACACACACACACACACACACACACACACACACACACACACACACACACACACACACACACACACACACACACACACACACACACAGCCTCAGGTTTCTTCTCTCTCTGATTGATGTCTGACATTTTCCTCTCCTCGTCCAAAAGTTTGACGCTCGCAGCTCTTCAAAAACAGCTGATACTGAAGCTTCTCTATCAGCTGATAGTTTCCGTCTCCTGAAACGACTTTCTCTAAAGTTTGCCGATCACTCTCTGAAAAGTTGTTTCTATGTTTCAGATCTGAGGCGGCGAGGCCCAGGAGACCGTGGTGTTTCTATTTCATTGTTGTTTACCTCATCCTGCAGACCGGCCTCAACGCGTTCCTCATCTATAAAGGTACCTCTGTCTGCTGATGGGGTTAGATATTATAAATCATCATTTATGCACCAGATAATCCAGATTATTCTGGACCTCAGGGACCTCCAGGTGAGCCAGGAGAGAAGGACCCCAGTAAAGGGATATTCCAGTATAAAATTAAGTTAAAGTCAAACCCACAGTAACACTGAGTTAGACCCCCCCTCCAGAGATGAATGTTGTCGACCGCTTGCTTCTCTAGTTATACCAACTTTAGTAACGACAGAGAGCCACGCGCTCAACCAAAACGCCACTCTATAGGTACGAATAATGCTCAGAACAGCACCTACCTGTGAAATCATATTTTCAAATTATATGCAAAAATAAAGTCTGTCAGCAAAAATTATGTCATTTGCTGCAATACAGTGAGAGTTACAGTCAAATTAAGAGGAAAAATGACCCTGAGTGGACGTATTCGTCACCACGACTGTGAAAGTGTTAATCCTGATAACCTTACCTCTGTCTTTTGTTCTATGTGTTTGTCCCCTATACAGAAGTTGAGTTCATCTTATGTTTTGATGCCTGATGGACTTTGTTTTTTTTTTCAATATTAAGGGTTAATCTATTTCCTAAGATATTAATGAGCTTTAACTCTTCGGTCAATACCTGCTTCAGCTCTTCTACCGTGCTTGCTGAGGAATAAACTATGGAGTCATCAGCATACATGACTATTTTGACAGAGTTCAAGTCCAACGGGAAATCATTTGTAAAAATCAAAAATAAAAGTGGTCCCAGGCAGCTTCCCTGCGACACCCCACACCTCTCATTTGTGTCATCAAACTCCTGACCTCAGAACGCCCTCAGAGAGCGAGTTTTCTGAGCGTACAGGTTTACCTCGTTAGCATAAAGGCGCTCACACGCCGCAGCAGACATTAGCTTTCAGCTGCAGGTCCGTCCGCTGATGATCCCGGCGTTGATGACCTGTCATCTCCTGTCAGACGGCGATGAGAATCAGCTGATGGATGAGCTGCAGCCATTATTTCATATCCTCTCATAACTTAGTCAAGGCAGCGCTGACATTTCCTGAGTGAGATCTCCATCAGAGCTCAGACCTCAGAGTCTGAGACCGAGGTCTACACCTGTCCCACCTCACCTGGACCTGGAGAGTACGGCTGGTTAAAAACAGATGAATCCACTTATTAAAACTGCAGCTGTGGTTATTATTGACTCTGTGAGGCTGCCAATAACGAGGCTGCTCTCCGATTCATCAGTATTCACAAACACTCCTGCACTCCATTACAAACCTGCTGTTTGCTTCTCTGCAGGTGACACAGGTGCTGCTGGACCTCCAGGACCGAGGGGGGACACGGGACCCGGAGGAGAACCAGGAGCTGATGGAGAACCAGGAGCTGATGGAGAACCAGGAGCTGAAGGAGAACCAGGAGCTGAAGGAGAACCAGGAGCTGAAGGAGAACCAGGAGCTGATGGTGAGTCTCATAAAAAGGAAGAGAGGATCAGATATACGACATGTCCTTTTCTCTTAGACCTGCTCTGTTTTACTTTGTTCTTTAATCTGTGAAATACAAATAAATGAGTAAAATCAATGAATCAATACTATTCAATTCTAAATGATACAACAAACCATGAAACAATACAGTATGGTGAGACATGATAACATACAGAGCAGTAATTAAGGTTCAGTATAATACAGTAAACTACAATACAACAGGATATGTTCAAATACAGTATAATATAAAACATGAAAATACTCTGAGATGGGCTATACCATACAACACACTACCATACAATATCATAAGTTAATTTACATAATGATACTTTCAGTATGTGAATATTTATTACAATGTGATGCAGTATAAAAGAATACATTATGATATAATATGATATAATATGATACAGTCATGATACATTACACCTTTAATTCAATTTCACTTCAATACAAACTAATACAGTAAATAACATTACAATGAAATATGAGACAATATGATAAAATATTACTATATAAGAGGATGATATACAACACAATATAATAGGATATGTGACATTACAATGAGACACAATATGACAAACATTGTATGATAAAATACAACAGAATACGATTGAGTCTGATATGATATGTTACCGTATATACGTTATAAAAATATGATATATAATACATTACAATACAATTAGATATAATACTATAAAATAAGATTAGTCAAACTGTGATGAAAAAGGATGAAAAGTAATAAAATAAAGTTCAAATAAATAAAAGATCAGATATGTTACATTTGTATCTAATATGAATAATTAGGAGATAATACTCAAAGATATAATATGATAAATAACGATAAAATATGTTATGATACAATCTGATACAATACCATACCTTATAATATAGTCCTGGTCAAAATAAAAGCACATGATCAGATTTAATGAGATATGATCAGATTTTTATTGATAAGTTACTTCAACACAAAAACAGACCAGACTAACCCGAGGCTGCAGACAGAGACAGACGACGTTACTTAAGTGTTTTTTGAAGGTGAGTATGAACCAGTCCATCTGTTCTTGGTACCTGTTCAGAGGAACCTTTTAGTGTTGTTTTATGATACCTGTTCAGTTCCATCATCTCCTTTAACATTGTGGGATCTACTTTTTGATAATTGTGTTTTAGTCACCCTCAGAAACCGGACTAGAGGGTCTCCAGGTCTTTAAAGTTCCCCCTCTGTGCAGTACTTAGTCGGTCTTTTAAATATAGATCATTGTTGGTATCTTCTTTGTAAAATAACTCTATTACCTCGATCTTGGAGAATTTTAGTGTCTGTTTGAAGAGACCCGTCTGCAGCTACCTCTGTATACTCATGAGGATCCTGCTGCTCCTGTGAGGAGACCTAACCAAAGGGGGACACTGGGTCAGGTCTGGCTGTGTTTTTTAAAGACTCAGTCAGTAATAAAAGAAATAAATCATTATGCAGTAAAACCGATCAATCAAAGCCCGATCAAACAGTTCACAGGGGATTTCAGGCTTTAAAGAGACCACCTGTCCTCAAATCAGATCCTGCATGTAAACAAAGTGAGCCAGGAAAGACAAGAGTCAATCATCCAACCACGTCTCTGCGTCTCCTTCATCATCATCATCTCCTTATTATTTATTATTAATTAAAATAAGAATAGAATTCCTCATAAACAGAGATCCGTCTCTGACTCACAGTCTGATGATGTTTCCTGCAGACGGCATGCAGACCTCCTCTCTGGTTTAGTGAATAAACCACATGAGGAGACTGAACCCCTGGAGAGAAGACCGTAACATCAGCAGGTTTCTGCAGAGACCTCAGCTCCTCCTCCTCCTCTAACTTCTGGTTATTGTTGGTGGGAATGGTGCTGACGTGTGGATACGATGACGTGACGACTTCTGTGATTTACACGATCACCCCAAACAAAAACACAAACGTTTGATAGGAACAGAAAAAACTGGAAAATGAACTTTTTCTTTTCTTTCTGAAGCACAGAAAAGTTTTTGTGATTTTTGTGATCTTGCAGATTTTTAACTTATCCCAGGTTCTCTGAACCGCCTCCACAGTGACGTTTGTCTCGTATCAGGCAGAGGGTGAGGACGGGTGGAGGTGAGGTACAACGGGGAGTGGGGCACGGTTTATAAAGACCACTGTAACTCCCAGGATGAGAAAGGTGGTCTGTAAGATGCTCAGTTTACTACAGCGCCACCCCAGGTCAGAAAGCAGAACCACAGGAGCTTTTTCAAAAACCCGCTCTACCGCCAATCTTTATTTTTACTCTGTGTTTATGTTTGTGTTCATACAAATAAAGTATATATGTGTGTCTGTATAAATACAGTTTATGTGTGTTTATATAAATATAGAATATATGTGTGTTTATATAAAAACAGTATATGAGTGTTTGTGCAGATACAGTATATTTGTGTTTTTATATAAATACAGTATATATGTTTGTTTATATATATAGAATATATATGATTGTGTTTGTATAAATACAGATTATATATGTTTATATTAATACAGTATACAAGTGTGGTTATACTAATACAGTCCAAACATGTTTATATAAATACAGTATATATTTGTGTTTATATACATACAGTATATATGTTTGTGTGTATATGAATACAGTATACATATATGTGTTTATATAAATAAAGAAGATTTAGATGTTTACATAAATACTATATATATATATATATATATATATATATATATATATAATATTGAGGTATTTACATAAATAAATACTGTATAAATGTGTTTATATATATAGTATATATGTGTGTGTTTATATAAATATAAACTATTTAGATGTTTATATAAACACAGTATATGTGTTTTTTATAAATTCAGTATACATCTGTGTTTACATAAATACAGTATATACTGTATGTTTGTTTATATATATATACAGTATATGTGTGTTTCTATAAATAGAGTTTATATGTGTTTAAATAAATACAGTATAAATGTTTCTTTATATAAATACAGTATATATATGTGTGTTTATATAATTACAGTGTGTATATTTATATGTCTTTAAATAAAGATCACCTCCTCTCTTCTGTCCCTCCGAAGGCTCTGGGAGGATCTGGCGTCCTGCTGTGTCGCGGGTTAGAGAAGGAGATCTTGGACTGTCCAGGTCACGCTGGACTCAGTGTGCGCACCTGTCAGCACACAGAGGACGTGTCAGTCAGCTGTTTTTAACCTGACACCACTCTGAAGACCAGGGCGGAGGGAGATGGTTCAGCTGTGACAGGAGTCAAATATAAACCTCACATGTTCACGTCTGACTGTGAGGAGGAGAGCAGCGCTGATGCTAATTATAACCACAGCTGGATCTCACAGAGCCTCCAACTCACTTCATCATCAGGGAGAACATTAGCTCCAACAGCAGACAGACTCATGCTGATCAAACTTCTTCTTCCTGTTTTCATCTCACAATCATCATCATCTGTCACTCAGTCTTCATCACTTCTCCTCCTCCTCTTCCTCCTCATCTCTTCCCCTCAGCGACAGACCATCACCTCTCGTCCATCGCACGTCAACGTCCAGAGCTCTGCGGAGGTCAGCGAAGATGAGGAGGTCACAGTGAAGGGCTGGAGAGGAGCTGAGGAAATGTTTCTGACACAGCTGGCACGTCACGTTTCCCCTGACACCGCAGGGAGATGAAGAGGAGGAGGAGGAGGAGGAGGAAGCTGCTCTGTTCCTCAAAGATCATACTGTTAAAGGTGTCAGAAACCTTCTCCACATCTCCTCCATCGTTGGACATTTCTTAAAGTTTCGACTCTCGTACCTTCAGGAGGAAATGAACTTCAGTCAGTACGTTTACATCCACAGTTTAATCGGACTAAACTCATCATTCATTTTTTTCTCTGATTCAGACTTCCCTCCTTGTCTGCTGAGAAAATTGAATTATTGACATGAACGTGTCCTCCTCTCCAACACTAGGGGGCGATATGGGTCTTTTCAGCGGCGCTGTTTCCGACCCCATCCAACCGTCAACAACAACAGCAGGTCGGTGTCAGACGTCAGAAGTGTCTACAACTGCTGCTGGGCATTTTGGAGAAACAAGAAGATGGAGCATCGTACAGCGTTGTTTTTGTCCGACATGATGGACGCGCTACTTTTTCTAAAGAGGAGACCAACGCTACTCCTCTACTCTGGGGGTTTTGTTCGTTCACATGCATTGTCCAACAATGTTACCAACCTAGTGACATTGTTGCTTGATTTAGCGACTTTTCAGACCCCCTTAACGACTTATTTATTTAAAAAAAAGGGCCTGGTGACAAACTTAACGACTTTTTGTGGAGTTTAGAGACTCCAACATAAACGCGGGAATAGATGTTACTCTTCTGAACGGGTAGCAGGTGTGCATCAAAAACATGAACACAGACAACCACGGAGTAGACTCCTCCTCCTCCTCCTGGGGGTGGGGGGATCAGTGGCGACAGTGGGTTTGACAGAGAAATTATGCAAATAAGGTGATGATGTCATCTAGCGACTTCTGGCGACTTTTCTTACTAAGGAGTCGGCAACACTGTTGTCCGATCATACTCCGACTACGCTGGTTACATGGTAGAGAAAATCGAATTCCAATCACATTATCTGAGTGTCTTAATCAGAGTTCTTAAACTCTGATTATAGTCGGACTAAAGTGTTTACATGACCTTCAGCTGTCCGGTCTTAATCGGAGTAAGGCGATAATTCGGTTTTCTCGAGTGTCATGGAAACGGACTGACTGTGATGAACCTGAAAAATGAACTGACTCTCCTGTGATTGGCTGAAATTAAAAGTCGTCAGTTTTATGTCCGATAAACTTTTTATATCTTTGAAACAAATAAACCGGTTTGTTCCAGTTTTTTGTCTCAGATCAGTTTAATTGTATTTCACCTTTTCTATAATTAGAGCAGCTATAACAGCTGATCTGGATCCTCCTCCTCTTTGTTTTTTTATCGTACACACCGATGTTGACCCCGTCTCTCTCTCTCTCTCTCTCTCTCTCTCTCTCTCTCTCCGCAGAGAAAACTTTGATTTTCCGATGATTTTAATGAAACTTTCTCTCCGTCTCTCCGTCCTGACCGGCCGCCAGCGGAGATGATGAGATGAAAGATTAATATGAAAACGTTAAATAAAAAATGAAAAGCAGGTTTTAATCATCAGACGTTGAGCTGACTGATGAGCGAGGACAAATTGGAACGCAGGGCGAGACATTTAATTTCAGGACGGCGTGGTTGTAAATGGATCGGCCACGCCGAGGAGCGAGACGTCATTACAGCGCCAACGAAACGCTCGCTCTCCGGCTGTGCGAGGAAGGAACTTGATTCACGGCCGATCCGTCTGCCTGCTTTTCCCTCCGGGGGACGCGGGCCTGAGTCACACCGCCACCGCCACCATCATCATCATCATCATCATCATCGCTCCCTGAAAGAGACGCACCTGTCCGTCCTTCTCTCTCTCTCTCTCCGTATGCAGATTGGGAGCAGAGACACGGACTCAAACTACAAAGTGCTGATTAGGATTCAGGAGCCGGGTCCCCAGGCTCCCCCTGGGGCCGCCGCTCAGGGTGAGAGCTGGAAATAAACATGAGGGGGGTCTCTCGCTCTGTCGTTCATTAGCCAGACCAACCTCAGGTCAGCCCAGCCCGCCTCCTGGCCCCGAGACCACCGCCTGCAATTGAGGTCTGACGTGGATAAATAAAAGATGGGAGAGACGGGGGAGGGGGAGGCGGCTGACAGAATCGCTGATGGGTAATGAGGGTGCCCCCCCGCTGTCCTCCTCACCTGTGTGGACCTCCTCAGTACTGCAGCAGACTCTCTGAGCAGCAGCGGAGACGTTTAGGACCGTATTCATGAGCCATTACCGAGTCCTCCGAGTCACCGCCGTCTCTCCGTGAGAATCTGACTCCAATTACCCCGATGACGGTTCAGCTGAGAGGATCCTGGACCGCAGACTCACCTTCTCCTCTGACCGTTTCAGACCTGGACTGTATGTAAGGTCAAAGTTCAAACATATGAACGCAGGTCTGAACAGAAGCTGAGTCTGTACGGAAACAGTCATGGAGGTGTCTGTGAACGGTTTCTGTCGGACACAGTGAAGCTGAGACTGACTGTGAACAGGTGGACCCGCTCTGTGAGATCCTCCATGATGAACCAGGATCCTTCACAGTTGGAGGTCATGAACTGTCAGATGATAGATAATGACTCTGACCCCCAATTTTCACAATTCCAATTCCAACCGGATCCGTTTGTGAGGCGAATTTCGTGGCGGATTACTGACAGCAGGAATCATGAGAACTTACAAGAACTCGCAGATTCACGTTCAATCGTACGATAACGAGTTGTCTCTCTAAAGACAGACACATAGACATATAAGCAGTAAATTGTGTCCTTCCAGAGGAGGAAATCTACTTCTAGACTTCTAGAATCAGCATCTCCTCATCCATGGTGTCATCGGGGTGAAATGACGTCTAAAAACCTTTCACTTGTTCGTCTCCGCCCGTTTTGAAAGAAGTCGGTGTAAATTGACACGTTAACTTGAATGGTTACGATCAGCTACGATCGGAGGATACGACGATCAGGATGAAGGTGGAGATTAGGGGTGACTTCTGCAAAAACACTGACATGCAGTTTTGAGCGGTCAGCTGTGGTCCAGAGGTCTGTAGGTTCAGCTTCAGGCTGGACTGACTCTGATCTTCTGTTGTTTCAGGACCTGCTAATTCTGGTCCCCACACCTCGATCCTCCGTCCTTCAGCTAGAAGAGATATTTAAGGTCTGAGAAGAAGAAGGAGCTCCAAGGAACAAAGGCGATCTATCTATCTATCTATCTATCTATCTATCTATCTATCTATCTATCTATCTATCTATCTATCTATCTATCTATCTATCTATCTATCTATCTATCTATCTATCTATTTCAGGGTTTCAGGGTCTCCAGCTGAAGCTCCCACCACCAGACCAAGATGAAAACCCCCTCAGATGATCTTTGACTGACCCGGTATCTTCATGACGGTGTATTTCTGAGTTTTTACGATGATTGTAGATCAGTTTTAAAGTCCTGGAGTACGTGTCGGCGTTTCTGTCTCCTTCTTGATTTGTGACTTTGTGTTTTTGTCGGTGGTCGGTCTGAATCAGCGTCTGACAGCGCTGAAGGAAAGCTATCACTGCTGCAGCTGTTAGTAACCTCTGCTGACAGCTCCTGGCTTCGTTTATTCACTATTATCATTCGGGTTTTTGGACTTCGTCCCTCGCCGCGTCCTCCAACAGCCTCCTAAAGTCATTGTTCAGTTTGGCGTGGATCATTTTTAACCCCCGGCCTTTTCTGTCTAAAATCACTTTATTTACTCGTGTCGAGAATAAAGACGGTTCTGCATCATTTGTTTCACAAACACTGATCTGTTTTCTCCACCGCTGTTTAACCACGCGTCTCTCTCTGAGCTTCCTCTTCCTGACGGCGAGCTTTCCTCGTCTGTTTTCAGTTTTCCTGTCACGCACTGAGAGGATTCATGACCGCACCTCCATACCTGCGCAGAAGAGAGAGAGAGGAGTGTTTCTTCCACCTTCCAGTACGGTGGGTTGTCAGATGAGCTGAGGATGGAGGCAGCAGCTCAGCGGTGTGTCTCTGACAAAACGGCGTCCGTGGGATCGAGGCCAGCTGGACGGTCCTGCCGCGCCTCAGCGTCATACCGAAGACAAGCCATCGATCATCCTGCGGCTCCAGCTGAGGGCCTGTTGGTGGAGGACGGGGTCGGGACTGTGCGCCGAGAAGGGCTCTGCCAAGACTCATCAGAGGCTGACAAAACCTCCAAATCCCCCGCTCGCCAAAGGACGGGCGGCTGCGGTATGAAGGGTAGCCATGTTGTTTTGTTGGCGACTGTAGAGTGAGTTAAAGAGACGCACACATGAAGGCTGGATCAGACCGGGGCGTGAAAACATCAGTGACCACCAGGAGGCGTCATGTGACTTTAACACGTCACCAACATTTCAACTGGCGTGAAAAATATTACGGGATGTCGGATCAAAGACGCAAAACTCCAGAAAGTTAGAAAGTGAAGCAGATACGTGAGTGCTAAAAACTGCAGTTCCCTGAGTGTCCACTAGAGGCTGAAGCACAGAAACCACATACACACCCATGTCTCCTTAAGTTAATATCCTTCCAACAGGCAGAAAACCCAAGTATAAAAAACTGAAAAAATAAATGACTGCAGTTCCCTGAGTGTCCACTAGAGGCTGGCTGCAAGAGCACAAAAACCACATACACACCCATGATAAAAACACGATCTTTAGAGTAAAGATAGTCAGATTTAGTGAGTTCTCGTGATTACCGCTGTCTGTATATCTGCCTTGAAATTCGCCTCACAAATGGATCCGGTAGGAATTGGCGGACGGTGAAAATCGCCGCCATTCTGGATCTGAGCTTTTCCGGATTTGGTGAAAATTGGGGGTTACAGCAGAAACAAACATGTTTACAGCTGGAACAGAGACGGTTTGTCTCTGTGTTCAGCTGTTCATGTTACATTACCGTCATGGTTAATTGGGGGCGTGGCCTCCTTTAGAGCTGAAACTCTTAAATCTGTCTGAGATCTTTTTCATGTAGACGAACAACAAAATAAAAGAGATGTGGACTGTAATTCCTTCAGGAGAGACGCTCAGCTGGATGAGAGGGAGCGATCCGGATGACACAATGTCAGAGGGACAAACGGCAGACAGCAGGCGGGTGATGATATCAATCAAAGCCCAGAGAGAGATGAGAGGATATCGATCTAGGACGGAGGAGCAGGTGTGACAGGGCTAAGTATGAGGGCTCAGTGTGGAGGCAGGAACAGGTGAAGTGATAATGATAAAAAAAATCCCCCCGCATGGACTCACCTGGTACCACATGCTACGGCTAACAGCTGGTGACTCACATGAGAGGTGTGACTGACTCTGAAGTGTCAGGAAAGAAAGTGATTAAGACCTGTGAGGTGTCAGAGGAGGAAACACGAGGAAGGGATGAAGGAAACCAGAGAGGAGGGAGAGGAAGAGGACGGCTGCAGGTACGAAACAGAAAAAACAAATAAAACCACTTTACTGTTCTGAAGACTCAGAAATGTGGAGTTACTGTTTGACTTCAGTGAGGACACGGGGTCAGGGTTCATCACGGTGAGTCTCAGTTTCACAAACGTTCACTCAGAGCAGAATTATCCTCGATAAGAATCCAGATTATTTGGGATTGATATTCAGGAGGTCCCAGTTTCACTGTAAAGTAACTCAGAAGCTTCACTGTGTCTCTCTTCGACAGTTTGAACCAATAAGAGAGGCAGGATCTTTGATCGATGAAGTTAAAGGGTTAAGTCTCAGTTTGACTGTAAACGATGAAATAACACAGAAGCTTCACTCTGATTTTTTTCAACAGTCTGAAAACTAAACTGACTGATTTCTGAAATAAATTATGGATCTGTGGTTGCCATGGTAACCAACCCCCTGTGATAAGGGTTCAGTTTTTCTAAAGGACTTACGCTGCATACCAGTTGTTCTCGGAAATCGAGAATTACAAATTCATCTGAAACCCCCCCCCCGAAGTTGGATTTCTGACTCCGTCATGTTTCAATAATGAAGATTATTTTTTATTTTTTTGGACTAACTGTAAATATTTATAATCAGGGGTTACTTAAGGTCAGAGAGGGATCAAAACAGAGCAGTGGACTGTCAGGGTCTCTGCAGATCACATGGTGAGGAGACGCAGCTGGGTCACAGAGCTGACCAATTAGATCTGGACACACACACACACACACACACACACACGTGCACACACACACACACACACACATTTAAAACCAGGACCTTTTCCTCATGTGTCAACATTACATAAGAGTTAATTAAGAGCATTATCTCAGGGTCTCTGTTAAAATCACCGAGGGGGACGGCAGCAGAGCAGAGAGCCTCTCATGTCAGAGAAACAAACGCTCCGGGATGAAAACAGTCGTGGTTTTATTAGAGATTAAATTATCACCAACAAAATAAACACTCTAAACTGAGCTCTAAGACATCAGCCTTTAAAAACAGACGTGATGATGGCTGATGGTGGAGGACTGACACAGTTTACCTCTCTTTATCACGTCTTTGTATCACACTGCTGACAAACTATGAGTTAATGAAACAAACTGAGTGACTTTTAAAACCATTTTAACTCAAATGTAGAAATAAAAGAACCCTCTACTCTCTAAAACTGAGGATGCAGCATCTATGATTTCTACTTCTTCATTGAAAGGACAACTGGACTTACTTAAAACAAACTCTGAGTTACTTTAAAACCATTTAAACTCAAATAAAGAAATATAAACCAAGCTGGATGGACCCTCTACTCTTTAAAACTGAGAATGTAGCATCTATGATTTGGAAGTCTTTGTTGAAAAGGACAACCGGACTTAGAACAAACTCTGAGTTAAAAGCAAATAAACTCTGAGTTACTTTTAAAACCATTTAAACCTTAAATATAGATATATAGTAAAAAGCTGGGTAGACTCTCTACTCTTTAAAACTGAGGATCATCTATGATTTCTAGTTCTACGTTAAAAGGACAACTGGACTTAGTTGAGACGTTTTGCCTAAGGTGAAATGTCTCGACTAAGTCCAGTTGTCCTTTTAACACAGTGATTTCCTCTGTTTTTGTCCTTAAACAACAATAATAAAGAAATAAAAACTGTAATCTTCTGTCTCTCTCTCCTCCTCGTCTTCTTCTTCTTATCTATTATTGTCCTAAACTATAAATACCTCGAGTCGGACTCGGTGTGAATCCAGAATAAATCATCTTTGACTAAAACAGTTTATTTCCAAACCTGAACTCTGCTCTCTCAGTCTGAACACATTTTCTTCATCTGAATAAACTCTTCTGTTTTTTCTCCATCAGGGTAAATGTTCTGAACTCCGAGCGCTCGCAGGAAGAATATAAATCCAGCTTGGAAACTGTTTACTGACTCTTTGCACTCGGAGAAAAAAGGCCGTGTCAGCACTCGGCGTTCGACCGTCCTCCATGATTCTCCAGACCAATTAGAAAGTTCCAACAGGTGTCTCATTTTACCTTAAACTCAGGGGCTCCTCTGCAGCCTCTGACCTGAGAGCGCAGCTGAACGTGAACCCGGAGTCGGCTCACAGAACCGTCTGAACCGGCCCGCTAATCAGAACCGCTCTCTGCTGCTCATTAGAGCCGCTCATCTGCCATGCGGCGTGCAGCTGCTAACCTTTGAGAGCGGCCCTGCGGGAGGGGGCGCGCTCTCATTTGTATACAATGCATGTCAATGATGGTGTTAAAGGGCAGCCACGCGGCGCCGAGGGGAGGACGGGGGAGGAGGAGGAGGAGGAGGAGAGGGGAGAGGGTGAGGGAGTTTTAACGTGTTTTTACTCCCTGAACAAACAAGAGGAGAGAGGAGAGGAGAGGAGAGGAGGAGAGAGGAGAGGAGAGGAGAGAGGAGGAGAGAGGAGAGAGGAGAGAGGAGAGAGGAGAGGAGAGGAGGAGAGAGAGGAGAGAGAGGAGGAGAGGAGGAGAGAGAGGAGAGAGAGGAGAGAGGAGAGGAGAGGAGAGGAGAGAGGAGAGAGGAGAAGAGAGAGGAGGAGAGGAGAGGAGAGGAGAGGAGAGAAGGAGGGGAGGGGAGAGGGTGAGGAGAGTTTTAACGTGTTTTTACTCCCTGAACAAACAAGAGGAGAGAGGAGAGAGGAGGAGAGGAGAGGGGAGGAGGAGAGAGGAGAGGGGAGGAGGAGAGAGGAGAGGAGAGGAGGAGAGAGGAGAGAGGAGAGAGGAGAAGAGAGAGGAGGAGAGGAGAGGAGAGGAGGAGGAGGGGGAGAGAGGAGAGAGGAGGAGAGGAGAGAGGAGAGGAGAGGGGAGAAGGAGGAGGAGGAGAGGGAGGGTGAGGAGAGGGGAGAGGGTGAGGAGAGGGTTTTAACGTGTTTTTACTCCCTGAACAAACAAGAGGAGAGAGGAGAGAGGAGGAGGAGGGGGAGAGAGGAGGAGGAGAGAGAGGAGAGGAGGAGAGGAGAGAGGAGAGGGAGGGTGAGGAGAGGGGAGAGGGTGAGGAGAGAGGGTGAGGAGAGGGTTTTAACGTGTTTTTACTCCCTGAACAAACAAGAGGAGAGAGGAGAGCGGAGAAGAGGAGAGGAGAGAGAGGAGAGGAGAGAGGAGAGAGGAGAGGAGAGGAAAGGGAGGGGAGAGGGGTGAGGAGAGGGTTTTAACGTGGTTTTACTCCCTGAAAAAAACAAGGGGAGAGAGGAGAGAGGAGAGGGGAGAGGAGGAGGAGGAGGAAAGGAGGGGAGAGGGTGAGGAGAGGGTTTTAACATGTTTTTACTCCCTGAGCAAACAAGAGGAGAGAGGAGAGAGGAGGAGAGAAGAGAGGAGAGGAGAAAGAGAAAGGAGAGGAGAGAAGAGGAGAGAGGAGAGGAGAGAAGACAGGAGAGAGGAGGAGTAGAAGGGTTTTAAAGTCTTTTTACTCCCTGAACAAACAAGAGGAGAGAGGAGAGAGGAGGAGAGGAGAGAGGAGAAGAGGAGAGAGAAGAGGAGGAGAGGAGGAGGAGAGGAGGAGAAAGGAGAGGAGAGGAGGGGGTCAGGAGAGGAGGGGAGAAGAGGTGAGAAGAGGAGAGGAGAGAGGAAGGAAGGAGAGGAAGTGAAGGGAGGAGGAGAGGACAGTTTAAAGTGTTTTTACTCCCTGAGCAAACAAGCCTGAAGAGGAGGAGAGAGGAGAAGAGGAGAGAAAACAAGAAAGAAGAGAAAAGGAGAGGAGAGGAAAGGAGAGGGGAGAGTGGAAGAGAGGAAAAAGGAGAGGAGAAGAACAGGAGAGAGTAGGAGAGAGGAGAGGAGAGAGGAGGAGATAAGAGGAAAGGAGTGAGGAGGAGAGTGGAGGAGAGAGGAGAGGAAGAGAGCGAAGAGAGGAGGAGAGGAGCAGTAGTTTGTTCATTGATGTGTCTGAAAAGCAGAGGGACAGAAAGATCATTTTTAGAGAGACTGTCCTAACGATCGTTAGTCCTTTCCTCTCTGTCCTCCTCTCGTCCCTGTCCTCAGTCCTCCCTGTCCTCCCTCACCTCCCTGTCCTCCTTGTCCTCCCTGTCCTCCTCACCTCCCTGTCCCCCCCTGTTCTCCTGTCCTCCCGTCTGTCAGTCTGAACGTTGGCGATTTCTCCTCCCGCCTGTTTGCTGACATTAAAGTTCCTCCATGTCAGCCTGACAGCTCCTCATAGGAGGCGTTTAGCGCGGTGATTAGCCGGCGTTGGCGTGGGCCGGTGTTTCGCCGTGAGCGACCCTCTCCTGGAGAATGATGGTGAACTTCCGATACGAGCGGCGGGCTGTCTGTCCTCCATCCACTCCAATCTCCTCCCCTCGGGGAAGCCATACTCGGTGATAGATTCTCAGGTCGGCGCTGCCGTCTCATTACCGACCGCCGCCATGAATAGAGATGTGACACGTCTGAGAAACAGCGGCCGCGCATTACGGCTGATTCACGGGAGCCGGGGTTTAAATCAACCCGAAGGAAGCGGGAAAACAGGGACATAACTCAGACCAGTGTCTGCCTCAGCCCGCAGATGTGACGACCAACGGGAGGTCAGCGAGGAAGTGGAGAGGATGAAGAGGAGCCGTCGAGCTCCGGATGGAAATGTCTCTTTTATTCGCCTCTAAATCTGAATCCTTTATTTACTCGGAACAGTTTGAGACGGGATGAAGAGCGGTGGACTCATCATCAGCTTTAAACAGAGGGGGGTCACAGCCTTTCTGAGGGGCCAAATCTGATCAACCTGCTCAGAAGAAGATCTAAAATCATTTATGAAGATCACATCCATCAAATATAAAAACCAAACAACTGATCCAATCCAACCTCCAGAATCAGACACAAGTCAAAGACAGACTCACACACACTCATGTTCTCTGACATGCAGCAGGATCAGCTGATCAGGCCTGTCAGGGTTCGACATGAACTTTGTTCACGTGTTCTCCTACGTTGAAAAAGTAACGAACACAAAGAACTTTAAGGGAACAACGAAACTTGATTAAATAATGTTTGCCTTATTTGTCCGACATACGTACAGTTATCTGAAATCAATTTTGGTCACATGATAGTGAAGCTATTGAAGGGAAACAGCCTTTTCTGAGAACATCAACCGGTAATTTATTGACGGTCCCTTATTCAACACCGACGTTGACAGTGAGGGTGTCGAGTAGATTTAACCGCGCTGCTGTTGTTATTCCCGGTTATGGAGAGTGAGAAGACACCGGTAGATCCTCAGAGAATGTCCGTCAGATATCCAACCTGAAACTAACTTCACCGCCGTATTTACAGGAAAATATATCCAACCTGAAACTAACTTCCCCGCCGTATTTACAGGAAAATATATCCAACCTAAAACTAACTTCACCGCCGTATTTACAGGAGAGTATATCCAACCTGAAACTAACTTCACCGTCGTATTTGCAGGAAAATATATCCAACCTGAAACTAACTTCACCGCCGTATTTACAGGAAAATATATCCAACCTGAAACTAACTTCATCGCCGTATTTACAGGAAAATATATCCAACCTAAAACTAACTTCACCGCCGTATTTACAGGAAAATATATCCAACCTAAAACTAACTTCACCGCCATATTTACAGGAAAATATATCCAACCTGAAACTAACTTCATCGCCGTATTTACAGGAAAATATATCCAACCTAAAACTAACTTCACCGCCGTATTTACAGGAAAATATATCCAACCTAAAACTAACTTCACCGCCGTATTTACAGGAAAATATATCCAACCTAAAACTAACTTCACCGCCGTATTTACAGGAAAATATATCCAACCTGAAACTAACTTCACCACCGTATTTACAGGAAAATATATCCAACCTAAAACTAACTTCACCGCCGTATTTACAGGAAAATATATCCAACCTGAAACTAACTTCACCACCGCATTTACAGGAAAATATATCCAACCTAAAACTAACTTCACCGCCGTATTTACAGGAAAATATATCCAACCTAAAACTAACTTCACCGCCGTATTTACAGGAAAATATATCCAACCTAAAACTAACTTCACCGCCATATTTACAGGAAATATATCCAACCTAAAACTAACTTCACCGCCTTATTTACAGGAAAATATATCCAACCTAAAACTAACTTCACCGCCGTATTTACAGGAAAATATATCCAACCTAAAACTAACTTCACCGCCTTATTTACAGGAAAATATATCCAACCTAAAACTAACTTCATCGCCGTATTTACAGGAAAATATATCCAACCTAAAACTAACTTCACCGCCATATTTACAGGAAATATATCCAACCTAAAACTAACTTCACCGCCTTATTTACAGGAAAATATATCCAACCTAAAACTAACTTCACCGCCTTATTTACAGGAAAATATATCCAACCTAAAACTAACTTCACTGCCTTATTTACAGGAAAATATATCCAACCTAAAACTAACTTCACCGCCGTATTTACAGGAAAATATATCCAACCTGAAACTAACTTCATCGCCGTATTTACAGGAAAATATATCCAACCTAAAACTAACTTCACCGCCGTATTTACAGGAAAATATATCCAACCTAAAACTAACTTCACCGCCGTATTTAGAGGAAACACACACACATTAGTACAGATGCCCCTACCCTCTATGAGCAACAGTTCTTTTTTAACCAGCCGCTCAGTGATCATGAAGAACTTCTGAATCTGCAGGAAAATGAGAATATTTAGGTTTTCGATGAGCTCCAATCAGACAGTCGGAGAGGAGAATCCAGGATTTTATGGAGCCATGCAGAGAGGGACTCATTAACAAGCATGAGAGGGGAGAAAGGAGAGGTCTGCTGACCTTTGACCTCCGCATGTTAGCCCAGGGAGTCAGACAGAGAATAAGAGAGCAGCCTGAGGGAGGATAAGAAAAGGACAGAGAAGAAGAATGATGATGGTTTTAAACGTGTCTAATAATCCTGTAATTCCTCACTTTCCTCTCAGTAATGAGACAAACACGCTGAGCGGCTTATGTCCTCTCTTTGTTTGGACAGAGATGACGGAGACGGCGGCGGCGCCCGGGCTCCTGGTCCACGTGAAGTGACAGAGCCTGTTAGGAAATATTGACAGTGGGATTGTCTTGAGTGGCTGTATTTATTTTTAGATGAGCCAGGCATTTTGTTGTGGAGTAAATTATTTTATCCTGCAGAGCGGGAGCAGCGGGCCAATCTAAATATGTACTCAGGAGGAGGAGGAGGAGGAGGTCGAGCGGGCGAGGAGCGGGGAGGAGGAGGAGGAGGAGGAGGAGGAGCGCTCTTTCTCTCCTCTATTTATCGTTTTGGACTGCAGTTTACATTTGTCAAAAAGTCTTATTGCTTCAGCTGCAGCGTCCGTCATTATCAAACATTATCTGCATGAGCTCAGGACGGCTGCAGCAGGCCTGTTTATCAGCCACGGCGCCACCGCCGCCGTTCTGACCCGCAGCTCTTCGTTTCTTTACAAAGGTTCACTGTCCCCGAGACGAACACAGACAAATGTTTTTGTTATATAACGGAGGGACGATTTTTCCAGAAACGAGGAGTCAGAGAGGAGCGAGGAGCTGCAGACGTGTGTGTGTGGATGAGTCACTCTCAGACTGACTCTTTTTATGTAAATAAATCTGTTTCAGAAACACGCCGAGAGTCTGTCTCAGTGAAAACAGCCGAGCAGGTGAACCCCTGAACCTCCTCAACAGTCTGAGTCTGGACCAGCTCCGCTCCTGGACTCATCACGGCTGCTAATTGCAGCTCGTCTGATTAAGCATTCAGGGCGGGGATGGCGGCGGCGCTGGGCGGTTTCATCAGCATGCTGACCTCCTCCTCAGGACGAGTTGGCTGACAGAGAAAACAGAGTTTAATCGGTCAAATGTGACCAGCAAGCTGAGCGGTGGGGGGGGGGGCTTCATCAGTGATTTGTAAAGGAGGGGGGAGACGTGGACGAGTGTCAGGACAGTTCACTCCGTCTGTCTCCTTCCTGTTTAGCGGCGTCAGAGTGTGCGAGGCCGAGACGAAGAAAAAAGCAAAAACAAGAAAAAGGTCAAAGAGGATCACGTCACACTCGACTTCAGATACAGATTCACTCTGACATTTCAGCGGCTGGTGGCGCCGCTTTAATCAGAGCGTTCGTCTTTACACACGGTCGTACAGTTTTTCTGCAGATCAGGACAAAAACGTCGAGTGTTGGACAGAATTAGAACAAAAGTTCAGCAGAAAACGGTAAAAAATGAGGAAAGTCCAGCTGACAGCAGATCTGAAACAAACTTACACAGAATATCCACCGTCAAGAAATCGACACGTTAACTTACGATCAGCTACGATCGGAGGATACGACCTTTTAGTAGACGATCAGGATGAAGGTGGAGATTGGGGGTCAGCCTCAGGATCATTGATGCAAATTTGTACTTGAAATTTTTCTAATTTGTACCTGCTGATAAACAGATTTTTTTTACTTTGATCAAACCCCCGTTGTTTGTTTTCAATAACCCTGAAGTCCTGAAAACGTCCCAGAATCGACCAAACTCCCTCAAAAATCAGGTGTTTTAAAAGTTGATTAAAAGTCTGATTTCCTGCCAGAGTTCATAAGACTGACAGTGAAACTGAGACCCTCCAAAACAGTTTAACAGGCCCTCCTTATCCTCTTTAAAACATGTTATTTTTTCAGGCTGATATATCACACTATAATCAGTTTCTGTTTCAGGTTCACATCACTGCAGTAAGACAGTGAAGCCTCCGAGTACCACTCTGTTTACAGTGAAACTGAGATGACCTCGGTGCAAAAATGCAGGAATGAACTACACGAAGA